CCTGACGTCTGGGCAACTCGGTAACTCTGAACTGACGTGCTCATTATCGGACACATTTTAGTTGGATTATCATTTGGCATTGTTAATATAATGTTCGTCTTGTTCTACCCTGAGTTTATAGCGGGTAGTGTACTTCTCTTGGCGGCTGAGAACTTATGAGAGGGTTTGCTGCTTGCTTGCAAACATCCTCAAAGACCAATCGGTTAAGCTGGGCGAACTGTCGATAAAACTTGCTGGTGTTTTCTTGGAACCAGAGAAATTTTCCATGAAACTGAATGAAGAGCTATCAGAGCGAGACGTGCTTGTGAAAGAGGTTGAAGAGATCTCTTTGCAGCTAGAGAAAGCGATCCAATTTTTTAATTTTTTAAATTATAAATTGTTTTTCTTTCATTTAATGTCTATGGCTAGAACTCTTGTTGAAAGATAGTTTATCAAACCAAGAAATATTTGTGTTTCAAGTTTGATGCATATATCATTATGTGTTATACAAATTGCAAGTGATTACAATGTCATTTGCTTTGTACATTTTCTCTCATTCTTTCTTACTAAAATTAATATTTAGGTGTTAAGGACATAGTCCTTAGAACCTTCTAGAAACAAGTTTCTAGAACCTTCTAGAGACAAGCTTCTAGAACCTTCTAGAAGCAAGTTTCTGGAATCTTCTAGAAGCTTCTTAGTTGATAGAAGATGTTAGGGACATAGTCCTTAGAACTTTCTAGAGATAAGTTTCTAGAACCTTCTAGAAGCAAGTCTCTGGAACCTTCTAGAAGCTTCCTAGTTGGTAGAAGTTGCTTGAGAAGCTTTCTAAATAGGAGTATATATTGGAATCGAGGCTGAAGAGTTCTTCAGTCTCGACAACACATCTCTTGGAGCTCTAGTTCACCTCTTTGGTGTTGTTCTTGTATTCATCTGATTAATCTAGTTCTTGCCAGTTCTTCTTGAACTTCTTGTTAGATCTCAAGTCTGTATTTCTGTGTCCGTGACATTAGGACAATGTCAACATTCAAGTATAAGATAGAAAAATAAAAGGAAGAATAGTTGTTATAATAATTCACAAAATACTACATACATCACATGCTGTATTTAATATATATATATATATATATATATATATTAGTTTTATTTTTATTATAATATATCTTCTATATAATTTTATTAAAAAAATATATCTTTTGTATACACAAGTACATTAACTTTGATTATACAAGTGTATCTATTTTAGTTAATATTATACATTTTTTGTATATAACAATGTTCGTTTGTGCATAATAGAGCTTAATGAAATTATTGTAGTGCTATTCATATACTTATATAATTAATATTAAAATTTTGATATTAGATATAAAATATATTTAAATAGATATATTATTTTAAAAAAAATACCTCAAAAAAAATTCCTTAAAGACATATATACACATATTAATAAAAGATTATAATTATGCTACAAAAAAGAGTAAATTTCCTCCCTCTTTCTTTCTCTTATTCTCTCTCTCTCTATATATATATAACATAATTTTTTTATTACATATTTGCACTATTTTATATCAAATACATCATAAGAGATCCAAATATAAAAATATATATTCAATTTATTTTTTTAAAATAATATTATATACAAATCTATTAATAAAAAATAAAAAAAAATAATATCTTTAATAACTGTAATTACAGATGTATTTTTGAGTAAGAGGACTTTCATCAAATAATTAATAAATTTTGTAGATGAACAAATAACATAAAAATCTGTTATTTACTTCGGTCTAAAAATTAGATTACGAGTTTTACTATTTGTTACATGTTTATTTTAACAATGAATACTATAATATTATCTACTACTAGTAATTGTTAAATCATATTTTTTTCTATGATAAAAGCTAATTCAAAAATAAACCATTAATCATAAATATATATATATATATATATTATTTTTAATTAAATATCTTCTGAAATATTAGTTAAAATTACATTTATATTCTATATTGTACCTACAACAAAACAATTTCATGTTTAAGTTTCTAATTTTTTTTTCTTATGATCCAAATACATACACCAATTTTATATAAATCCTTTAAAGTGATATAATTTTATAAAAGAATATTTGTTTATTATCCAAATTATTTCTTTTAGCTTTGTTGTCTACAAGCAAAATGTATTTATTATGTAAAAACATATGAAAATTACCATATATACATGCCACACCATTTAAAATAATATTTTTTATTATATATATATACATATATATAATTGACTTTAATTTTTTTTTCAACCTCTTAACAATAAATTTGTAATAATACATTATCAAACTAAATGTAATATTGCATAGATTTATCAACAAAAATATATATATATATATATATATATATATATAATCATTGTATTCTAAAAATGGAATTTTATTTCTCTTAATTATAAATGTTAAAATTTTACTTAAATAGTGTATATATAGTTTAATATTAAAATAAATATATTAGAAACACAAAAATATCCATCTAAAATGTATATATTTTTTTAGTTGTAGGTGGTTATATTTTAAAAATCACAAAAAAAATTAATTTTGGTAGACCAAATTAAATGAATATTGCAAATGTATATAAAAATGAATCAGCCATAAAAAATGTTGTTTAGCAAGAAATCTGCTCAAAAGTGGCAAAAAAAACACTTTCCTAGTTTAATCATGTTTTTGTTTACTTAGTACTTATCTTTATTTCTTTATGCTTTTTTTTAATGCTTTTCTATATAATTTTTAGCATATATGACAATTAGAAGATCCAAGATGTCAATTGTTTCAATAGCAAACCTTGTTCAGGACTATCATTTGAATTTATTTTAAAAAGCTTTGTATGTAATTTAACAATTAAAATAATGAATGATGCAGATATGCCTTGAAAATAGTTTTTTTAAACTTGAGAACAATTTTTTCTATTATTTTTTAAATACTTAATCGAATTCAAAATAAAAATTTGAAATAATGTATAGAATTGTCTATTTGATAATTGATTATTACAATCAATGCAATATGATTATTTTAAAGTATATATATATATATATATATATTTGTTTCATTAGACATCATATCTAGAATGAACATATTTTTTTTAATTTGGGTATGTATAAGTATATATATATATATATATATATATATTTAAATTTATTCAATTATTATTTTATTTTAGTATATTATAAAAAGTAAAATTAAACAAAATGAACTACAAATGATTTCTAAAATAACTATAGTAACCTTAATTATTCTATGTGCCTCTTCTTTTGAAGTGTCATCTTTTTAATTAATTGATGTTGTTTAGTTTTATTTTTTATTTTTTTTATTTTTTATTTTTTTCCACCAACTTAATGTATTATTCTTGTTTCTTGGACGTTGGCCAAAATACATAAGTTTTATGTTTTAAAATGAATTTAATAACATACAAAAATTTCTATCATTATTTATTTTTGTATGATATAAAGCATCTGAAATAATATTTATTGCTCTTAATTTTTCTTTTTATACATTATGTTAATGTATATCAAAAAACCAGAATTTTGTTTTATTATCTCATTGATGACTATTGGATTTGAAATTAGTCTATTTAATGTCATAAATCTTTGCTGATTTATTTTTAAATACAACTAAATGAACTAAAATAAATCATTACATATTTATCTTATTTTTCATTTTCACTTTAGAATGTATTATAAAAAAAATAATAATGAAATCAAAATTTATATCTGAATTTTAATTAAAAATGATACATATTTAAAATTTACATGATTTTCTATAGAATGCCACCAAATTACACACAATTTAGGTCTAATAAGTCTCACAGTATTCTTAGGTGGTTATTTTAAGATTCACTATGAGACACATTAGACATTAGATTACAATTGCAATGATGACTATAATAACATTTGTTTTTAAAACAACATCTTAGTTGATTCTAGCAAATTAAAGTAGTGAAATATGTTGCTACGGCATAGTACAAAAATTTCAATTTATTTTCTAAAACTTTAATCAATTGGTATATTTGTATAATCTATATAAGACAACTAAGTTTAACTATAACACTATTTGATAGTTATGTTATGAGTTGATACATTTCAAAACATCCTCATAATAAGCCTTACAAAGCTATAATGTCTCTACATAATATCATATCACTACAAAAGTATATAAATACATTTTCACTATATGTTACTTATTTTACAATTCAAAAAAATCTTTCATATCAGTACTATTTGATCCATCATACCAATTAATTTTTCATTTTTATTTTATTCCTTTAAATCTTCTTTTGACCATACATTTTAATATAGAGCCTTACATTTAGCAATTATACTATTTTTTAGTTTGGTAGATATATATATATATATATATATATATATATAGGTAATGTACTATTACCTATTCAGTATTGATTGTTTGACTATATAATAACATTTTAATCATTCATTCCTTCAAAATGTATGATTTTTCTTTTACTTCTAAATTTGGTGTGTGTGTGTGTGTTTTTTTTTTTTTTTTTTTTTTTCTTTTTATAAATAAAATTTTTACAATGATTTTAATTATAGTTTGTTTTTTGCATTTAAGTTTACATTAAAATTTTATAGTCTGAATATCATTTTAGAAAAATGATCTCATTGTTGTGCTTATGTGATATTTAAAAAAAATGGATGCGTATGTAAACAAATTTAATTTTTAAAAATATAGTTTTAATAATATGATACAAATAAATAATGCAATTAAAATCATTAAAATATGATACAAATAAATAATAGGACCATTTGAACAGACATCATCCTTCAAGATTCATCCAAAGATTAACGAGAAAATCGGTTATGCCGTCGTCGAAGTGCCAAAATCGACCGAAAACATCCTTCTCGACGGGACTTGGACAAACTTGATAAAACGTAGATGCCACAGTGCGAATACAGGTTAGATTAGGGAACATAACGAAATATGCTCGATTTTAGAGATTTCATAAGCCTTTAGTCACCTTCTGGTGGGTTTGGTCTGCCTTCTCTGGGATCCAGACTGTTTGCGTGTGGCCCGTTTTCCGCCGAATTCGAAGCTGCGCCCCGACTCTGCTTCGCTTACAGTCTGTCGACGGAGACTTTATTCTCGCCATTTGTGTCCGTCTCGAGGAGCGCTCTGGATTGTTACCAGTGTTGATCTTCGTCGTGCCTCCGCTCTATTCGTCGTAATTTCTGACTGATAGTGGCCTGAGGATTTCGCGGCTGTGAAGAACGGCGTTGGTGCTTCTGGTTGCGTCTAGGTTGCCTTTGTGTGAAGAAGAGTTTGTTGGCGCCCCGGTGCCTGGTTGTGTGAGGTGGTGGCTATTTGGTAAGTTAACTTGAGCCATTGGTCGCTTTAAGAGTTTTGACTTCGGATTGTTGAACATGGAATAGGAGGAAGGAGGGGGCGATAGGCAGAGAGGAGCGTTAGTCATCTGTTTTTGTGCTGGCTGGATGCTAGGTTTCTTTGCGAGTCCTTGTTCTGGGGAGTGTGCAGTCGTGCTCTCTTGTTATGGTTCAAGCAGTGCAAGAAACGTTGGAGAAATGCTTTAGACCATTTTTTGGGGTTTGTAAACCCTATTACCGTCACATTAGTAATCTTTGCAGTCGAGGCGGCTTTCGTGCAGGCACTTACCAGTAGTTTAGGGATAGGTTACTCTCGTTCTTCCGTAGCGGTTCCCCTCCCTCCTACCTCATTTAGACCTTTTATGTCCAGGTGTTGTGGTCTCAAGGAAAACAAACGGAAGGGAGAGTTACCGAAATATGCTAATATGTATCTTCAAGACGTGATGAGTGCTTTTGTAGAGTTCCTGTCGTTCAGGTAGTATGACTTTTTGGTGAAACCTGGTTTAAATTTTGTGATCAATGATCGGTTTGCAAACGGTTAGGGCAAGTCGTAAGTGGCTTTCTGGTATGACCTGCCTCGCTCCCTTTTTCTGGAGGGAGGTTTGGATTGAAGCACCGCGAGGATGCAAACAGAGTTTTCATTATTATTTAGGCGAAAACAGGCAGGTTGTAGGGATATTACTTATGTCCGTGAAGTCTCTTATTAGCTTTATGTTATTCGCTGCGTTGAGGTCGACACATGTTTATCGCAGACACACTCGTTTTAATAAAGACGAATTAACATTGTTCTAATTATTGTTCTGGTATTTCCGTAAAGCTCTTTTGCGGACGATTATTTGTGCAGGAAAGGGCGTAGAAGTACATTCTTCTTGGTGTTTTCATAGCGAGGAAAGCACTAGGATATCAAACATGCTTCAGGTGAGACTTACCTGAAACTTTCAGGTAATTTTTATGTGACGGGAAAACTATTTACAGCTGACGTGGTTACCTGAAAGTTGTGAGCAGGTTGTACGAGACTTTATATCTTTTAGTTGTTATACGAAGCTTTTAGTATCTGACCCCTTCATTTTTCTTCTCCCTCTTTAAGTTTTACATTCCAATGTCATCCATATTAACCAGAGTGATTATACTCCAATTATTCTTTTATAAACAGGCGGACTTTCGTGGAGCTAATGGGCCCAAACGAGCTCGTACCGATGGTGAGTTGTGGGTACTCATGTATCATATGCATGGTTTTCTGTATTAGTTCTTTTCAATTTCATTTACAATTGACCAGCCACAATCGTGTTAAATATTGAAGTTACCTTTTAATCGGGATGTAAGGGTATACACTTCGATCTTTGGCTGACGAATATTCCGCTGTTACTAACACAGATTCGGGAGCGCGTGGTGAGGGTGATTGGACATGTCCCTCATGTGGTAATGTGAACTTCGCGTTCAGAACCACTTGTAACATGCGCAAATGCGCAACTCCGAAACCTGTTGACGGTGGTCAGGTAATCAAGCACTCTAGTTATAGTCTCATTGGCTTAGGTTTCGAAGAAAGACGTTTTCAATGTGGGATTGGTTTGTTGATGCATGTTATTTTTGAGGTTGATTTGTTCTTGTTCTGAATTTTGATTGTTGAATTGTAGAGAGGTATTGGGGGTCCTTTGGGACCTGCTGTGTATGACCAGCCTCCTGCACCAATGTACATGGGTGGCCCTGGTGCTCCTTCTCCACTTTCGCTCGGACTTCCTACTAGTTATGGAGCTCCTATGATCATGCCTCAACAACCGACGGTAACAGTCCCTTATGATTATGGTGCTTCAATGAACAATCCCCAATCATATCAACAGATCTCCAGGCCAACATCGTATCCTCCTCCAGGAGCAGTCATTGGCGGAGGTTCGTAATGGGATTGGACCTTCTCTTAACTTGTTTCTTGACGCTTTTCTTGGTAGTAGTCGCGATTGCTCCCGTCTATGGTTACTCATGAAAACAGAAATAGAGCAGTATCGCTGACTTATCACCTCTTGCACAACTGTTTTTCCTAGCTTTTGTAGTTTAAAATCGGTGTGATTCTGAGGGTACAAGCGGAAGTAACATTGGTATGTTATCAGTGCAATTTGCAGGACCAGCCTATGGCGCTCAACCCGTCATGGATGCCTACGGAATGAATCTCGGAATGAACATGGGTCCTCCTGTAAGCAACCGGACTTACCTGTACCAAATTATTTAGACTCTTGTTGATTTAATTTTGGAAGCTCAATCTTGTACGTTTATATTGTATGCTCTCGTTATCCACTATGTTGTAGCGACTGGGTTATTGTGTTTACTCTATCTCAATTGGTTTCTTTGAGCGTCTTTACCAACTTCTATCTCTGTAGCCAATGGATTCAATGCAGATCCCGGCCCCTAGAGCAGCAGGGAATTACGGAGACGAAAATGGATCACGCAAGCGCAGAGGAGGTACACATTTCGTTTTACCTCAGATCATTGACGTCCTCTTTCGATTTGGTGTTCGATTTCTCCGAATGGAATGAAGCTTAGGCAATAGTTATATGTAATGTAGTGCATGGTTGGCTCTCCTTCTTGGTTTTATTGTGACAGTCAAAATTGTTGACATTTAGCTCGTGAATTGGGTTTTCCAAGTTCAGAATTCTTTGTTCGGCATACTTCTTTTTAATGGAGTTATTCATCCAGCATTTCGTTTGTTTGAACAGGTCCAGATGGATTTTCGGAGGGCGATTGGATATGTCCAAAGTGTGGAAATACGAATTTTGCTTTCAGGACTACTTGTAACATGCGGAAATGCGGTGCTACAAAGCCAACTGAGAATGTGAGACGATCATCCTGTTCACATGGTTGCTTCATTTGATTAATTTTGATGTCAATCGGTTTTCAATTCTATTTGATTGTGTCTTAGGCTCTACATCAAGAATCCCAGTCCAGAAGTTTGTGTACTGTATCTCTCTTCCTATGATCACACAATTAAGGCAGAGAATAACTGTAACTAATGCTTTACTTCGTTTCTGCAGAACCGATTCAATAACGGTCCTCCTCCTAGAGCTCCTCCTGTGACTCGTAAGCGTTACCTTTCTAGGACCCTATCATTTTCAGTTGATGGATTTATTCAGTTAATCTGGCAGGGAAGAACTACATATTTCCAGTGAACTGTGTAATTACATACTTGTAAGTGTATGCAGAAGGGCCTCCTCCAGATGGGAGCTGGACGTGTGAGGCATGCGGTAACGTGAACTACCCATTCCGGGTGAAATGCAATAGACGAAATTGTGGCGCTGACAAACCAACTGAGTCGAAGGCTCCACCAGTGGCTAACTCCTCACCACCACCAACTGATCAGGTTTGTGAAGCTCATGTTTCAATGTTATCGCAGGTAAAATGATAAGCATACACAGTGAACCGAAAATTAATACCCTAAAGGTAATCTAAGTTGCTAAAATGAGGTGTCACCTCGTTGTAGCAACCTACATTATTGAAGGAATTGCACGATGTAGGTCATAAGTTTCGTAGTATGTGTTGCATTTTGTTCATTTTCTGCCTTAATGCTTGAAGTTTCTCTAGAGGTTTGATTGTACTCGGAAGACCTGGTCTGAGGATTGTGGGTTGATTGCTTTTGGGCGCATGCTTAATTTATTGGGATGAGGGGTTCTGCTTGGCATTTTTTAAATAATTCCTGTCAGTATCTGCGGGATGGTAGAATTGCATGTAACCACATTAGTCTTAACCTGATAGTATTATGAGCCAGGATTTTTTTTCCCACACTTCTAAAGTCATCAATTTGGATGTTGGCATCTGAGCTTCATCACATGTTCTATTTTTTTAAGATTCTAACTTGTTGCAGATGTATGGGGTCATTTATACTGTTAGTCTATTAATACCTGATGACAATTTTATTTTCTCTTTCAGAAGTTGTGCTAACAGTGTTTTTTCTTGATTATGATGACCCTTGAATGGTTATTGATTGTGTTCCGTATGGCACTGTTCCAGTAAATGCCGTGTGTTGGTCCGTCGCAAGGTCTGGTGGAACGAAGTCCAGAGTACCCAGAGTTTCGTACGTCAAGTGGTTGCGTGGGCGTACCATTCTTCGGTCAAGGTGTCGTCTCAGAAGTCAGTCGAGGGCCGTCTCCGTCGTCTTCGTTCATACGTTGGTGTGCTGTGCCTATCAATCAAATATGGTTGGTAGGTTGCAGGAGTCAACTAAACCAGGTTTTCTACATGTTAGTTGAAACGTGAAGCCTGTTTTCTAATTCGGGCTCACATTTTGGTATGGATAGTCACTACTTGTACACATCAAAGAGTGTTAGCCAGAAGAGTGTAGTATGGGTGGTCTGATTACGAAAGAGAGCGTAGCCCGTGTGGTCTGATGTGATCCAGGAAGCAGTCTTACCAATTCTTACGGAAGTTTAGGGCAGCAGTGGTGGAGATGAGGGCTTATCTGAGAAATTGTGGGCTGCAGTCCATAGTCATACTCCGCTCTTCAAACAAGTTGAGACTCTTCCTGTAGCTTTTGGTTAGGTAGTGCTTGATTAAGTTCCTCCAGGGTCATCTGTGAAAGGCGTAGCTGGTGCTTCATTTTGTAGCTAGAATTCTGCAACTAGTGTTATTTCGCTGTTCAATGTTCTATAGTAGGGTTGGTCAGTTTTTGACAAGCGATTGGGAATGCAGACCTGAATAATTGCATGTGAGGGAGAGTTATTTGTATTGCGCTTCTCTTGTTCGGTCTACTGTTCAAAGTTTTCATTTATTGTTCTGTGGTCGGAATTCAGTGCCATCGAAGTGTTTACTAGCCATATAGAAAGGACACCCCCATAGTTAGTCTGCAGCATAAGTTCAATTAGGTGAATCTAACCAGTGAATGAGATGCGGATGAATCAGTGTCGCCCACTATTGCTCCTGAATTACACCCTGTAAGAGCTTGTGCTGCGTCCTTTTTTACTTAGTTGCTCAAGACGCCGTTCCTTTTGACCTTGATAGCATCGTCCTGGGCCTTCGTTCTGCTTTATGGACGTAGCTAGCGCGTTGTAGCTCCATGACAGTAAGCTTCAAATTCTTACAGCAGGCTACTTTTATCAGGTTGCAGATTATCAACTATGCAGTCATAGAAGAAAATTTCAAATTCAATAGGGTGTTGACATAGCAGTTGTTCATTTGTCTATATTCTACTTCTTTGACCACATGGCTAGAAAACATAGATACACAGCACCACGTCCTTGTATGGTGTTTTCCCATCAGGACCTCTCAGGTACTTCGAGTGCTTTGTCAATTTTGATGAACTGACACCGAGGCCAGTATACTCTCTACTCAAGGTATTTTTTCGCAACCTATTACTGACAAAGCTTTGGTTACGTTTTTAGTAAGATCCGCTTTAGCGCGATCAAAGTTGCTCGTATTCTGCCATTATAGGAACAAGGCAACATTATCCTGCATCAGCTTAGCTTCCATCTGAAATGTGAATACTGCCTTGGGACGTAGGCAGACTCCACATTTTTAGGAACAAGGCAACATTATTCTGCATCAGCCTAGCCTCCATCTGAAATGTGAATACTGCCTTAAGACCTAAGCAGACCCCAGATTTGGTATAACTGCCGGTTGCTGTAAAGGTACATCGGTTTTTAATATGTTACACATTTGAGTTAGTTCGTCTGACTCCCAAGCGTAGTATCTCACCACAAAATAACATTCAAGACGAGAAGTATAATGGAACTAGGACTTATTGTGTGTCCTTTCACTCCAAATTTTCACATTTTCGTATATTTGATAAATAGAGAATGCGATTGTATACTTCATCACCGAGAAATTTAACAAATCTCAACATCCACCTGAAGTCTGAACTTAAATATCACAAATTAATAACAGTAATAACATTACAGAATTTGGCGTTACACAACTGCTGCTGGCCCGACCTTTCGAGCAGCAATTTTAGTTCCCAGTGTAGTGAACTCGAAAATGATAATGTCTTTATCTGCGTAGTACACAGGATAAATGGACAATGAAGGAATGAAGGCACCTTTTCCTGTGATATTCACAAGCGTTCTTTCAATGCTCCCCTGCACTTGATAATATTCAGTGTTTAGTGAAATAAATCTTTCCAACAAAATTCCTGCGTGAAATCAATGCTAAGAATATTGGCTGAGGAAGAGTGTAACAAGAATGAGGTCGGTGGAGAAAAAGATACCTTGCCCTTGGGGTCAGGTTGCAAATTATCGCGGCCAATGTCCCACCAGAATGAATCAAATAGAATTTCTACTGTTCGACCATCTCGTACCACATAATCCCCTGCAGCACTAAGCCACCCGTCTCCAACTGGACTTAGGTAACGCACATTGCTGATGAAGCCAGAGTCCGTTAGAATATACCGGAGCGGCCTTATTTGCGTTCCCACTGCGCTGGTTAATCTGCAGCGTGAACCAGCAAAAGTCATTACGTCAATATCGAAGTTATTGGAATAAAATGGAAAGAAATGTTTCAACATCACCATATTCCGTGCATTTTCATCAATCGGTCAGTGCCGTGCATTTCTGTGTGTGCTAGAAGATTGTATAACGCGAGTGGCGGAAAGCATTTAAAGGACGCTTGCCCTACGTTGTACTGCAACTGATAACGAACTCGTGAATTCAATAAGCTTACCTGGTAATATGTGGTGCATAAAATACCTCCCAAATGCCGTGCCCGTCGATGGATTTCAGAAATTCACCGAAGTCTTGCCCCCGGCACTCTCCTAGCGTCTTCACTGCATCTGCTAGACATCCCTTCGTCTTCTCGTCCGCATACAATGCCCAGGAAACCTCCGCCAAACCTCCCACACCGTTGACCCCTTTGCTCATCAATATCTCATCAATTACTCGCTTCGCATCTACTATTGCCTCATCCGCAGGCGCCCTCGCAACAGCTGGTGTCCTCCATTTCAACTCCTGACCCCTAGAAGCAGGCCATTCCCGAGTGCTGATCCCTACCTTTCCTCCTACACTGAATCCCGAATTCGAGCACATCGAAGCGCAATTGGAAACGGTTGACGCAACATACCAAGGATGCAAACATTCCTGATTACTTTGACATAACTGGTGTAAGCAATGAGCGGAATTCAACATTAACCCAGCCATGGCCACAACCTAGCTGACTCCGAGCTGCAATGCTCACTCATAAATGCCACATTTGCCACCGGGAGTCCTTACACCGAATCGAGGTGTCAATACGAAGTGCCTGCATACGTCCCGGAAGATTTGCGGACTTTCACACCAGCGGTTGATTCATGCTGCTCCATTATCTCCAGAATGCTCTTTCTGTTCATCACGCAAGGCAAATTTGTCAATAACCTCACCCTGCACACTGGCTATGCTCAGTCATTGCGAAACGGTATCCTTGAAGTTGATATACGCATGTGAGCAACAACAAGTCCTTTATGACGGAATCCGGATATGAACATCGCAAAGAGTCCAATCCTTCATGTTTTGCATCCTTCGACACCCGCGAATGAAAAAGATACCATCCACGGTGAATGAGATGGCAAAAAATCCAGGGTCGAAGAGAAACAACTAGTGAACCCAAATCCTCAAGCTCGTGACATCCGTTCTTGCGGACAAGCTCGTCTTCGTCCTCTTGATTGCCTTGGTCTCCAAGCGTCGGACTCTGCACCAATTATGTCATGCGTCTGAGGCAGCTGTGCAGCCTACCGCGCCAATTGGCAGTTTAGCTCTTCTCTCTTTTCCTCACACGGCGCAATTTCCTTATTGTTACTGATTTGAGTGCTGGAGTGCACATAGGGTACCGTCGGGGAGGTAGACCTGCAGTTGTTGTACGCATCGCGCAGTAATTCAACAGAACTTTGTCCAAGGCTGTCAAGTGAAGAGGATCTCGGCTACTACGGTAGTTTTTGGTTGTTCTCGAGGTGAATTTTTATAGCGCAGCTGTATAGCTTGGATTTTAGATTGAGTGATGGCGTTCGAGTGTGATGACTCGTGCTGTCTACTGCGTCGGGGACGCGAACTCCAATGAGTGTGTGATGCATGGTTCATCGTGGTGGTTTTGATCACGGGAGGTTAGCTTGTGAAGGTTAGATAGTGGTAGATGTCCCGTTTTGCAACAGCAATTAAAGTTTTAATGAACATATTTGTCTGAGTTTTGCTAAGAGGTATATTGAATACGTTCGATAGTCAGAGAGGCTATGTGCGCTTGAAGGTCTCATCGGGGGGTATCCGTTATTTCGTCTTGCAGTAGTGATCGCCATTCAATTACTTTGTTCGCTTCCCTTTTTTTTGTAAGTGCACTCCGCCTATGAGTGACTTTTTGTGGTTCTAATTTCAGCTTGGGTTGTGGAGTAGGAAGCCATGGCAATTGGATCAGGCACAATGCAGCTGAGTCGGAATAGGGGGGTAGTTTTCTGCTCAGAAACAAATGCTGTAGATAGCTCGTCAGAGCCAGTACAGGATGAGGTCGATTCAGTGATGTCAAAGTCATCGCCAGCCATGGTCGTCAGTTCTTTTTCTGAGGCAGGTATCGAGGTAGTGAGGTCTATCGAAAATGCCGAGAATGTGATACTTCAGTCAGTATCTGCACTTGACGAAGGAGGATTCTTCGGGAAAGAAACCTATGCATCTCTAATCACATCAGCGCTGGATGCATCATCGACGGAGGGGCCTGTATCTGATGAGCCTGCTCAGTTGTTAATTGCTCCAGAGAAACCTTCTTCTGCGATGGTGTCTTCTTTAATGGTCTCCTAGGTTGCGAATGCCTTAAAAAGATTCGAAAAAGATGGTGAAAAGTCCTGTGATAATGGCGTGGTGGATTTGAAGGAAACAGAATTAGTAGATAAGCATAGTGAGTTGTTTAATGGACTCCAGCCACTCACCTCATCAGTTGAGCCTAGCCTTATGGTGACAGAAATGGCAAATTTCTTGTTACCAACAACTACACCCGCAAGTGATGTAATGTCCACCCCAGAAGCACAAGTGATGGAGGAGGGCTCATTATCTATAGTAGAATCCAAGAATATGCTTGAGCAACTACGGGAGATTGTTGTATTTGTAGGTCCAACACTTGGCATTTGGTTATCTGGGCTTATCGTGAGTTTGATTGATACGTCTGTTGTTGGAAACAACAATGCCTTGGAGCTTGCTGCCCTAGGTAAGTATTGAAGATTGAGTGAGAGAATGCGGAGGGTTCTATGAAAAGTAGTGAGGAGCTTCGTTCAATGGCCATTCTCTTATTTCTTTTTCCTTCAACGGAAACAATGACTACTGTTGGTTTTTTGTTTTCTCGTTTTTGTCACACAAGACCGGGAACTGTTTATGCGATCAAGCCTGCTACATCTTCGTGTTCCTTTCTGTGGCCACTTCTAATCTTGTTGCCACTGCTCTTGCTCAGAAGGTTAGTATGAGATCCTTTCCAGCCATGGTTGAGCTTCCGTGCTTACGGCGAGCTCGTTCCGACAGTGATGTATCGGTGATTCATTCCCATATAGATGAACAGGAAGGTTCCAATTGATATCCAAAGTGAGGTTCTTTTACATTGCGAACTTCTGTCTCCACTAGGTGATGTGAATGTATAGGTGTTATAACACATTATATGATTATGGATTTTTATTAAATGCCCAAGTGTTCTTTAACCTGGTGGGGGTTTCTTTTACAACTATTTGGTTATTTTTATTTGCTAACCTTTTGCAGACATCTTTCTAGACTTCTATTTATCTCTTTGACATGTGGGATCGGCATGCTTTTGTTCACATGGTTTGGGGCGGCTACTTTAATTGCTGGTAACGTGTACAACAGATTTTGCAGACTTCTTTCTATAATTCTTATAATTTTTTGTAAAAAGAGAGGCTAAGGTCACATGATTATGTTTTGAATCTCGATATGTTTTGAATTTCGAAAGTGCCATATTTGTTTACATCCTTATATACTTGTTATTTTTTTTGATGTGTGTAAATTTCATTGCGACATTCACAATGCATTTATTAGTGAGTTGTTGCAGTACGTTGCAGTGATTTTGATGCTCAAGTCCTTGAACGACAAGGGTTACAACACTCTTGCAATCAACACACCCTCTTTTAAGCAAATTATTTTCATAATTAACTTGGCTGCACCTATTGCGCTCACAATGGTGTCCAATGTAATGAGCTATGATGTACTTACTGGTTTTGGATTGCCTCCGAGTCTATAGAGTATATTCTTGAAGTTATTGTTTTTGTTTGAAGGTTCTGTTCTGCTTTGGAGCTCTAGTTTTTATAATCTTGATTTTTTCAACTTTGCTCAATAAAATGATTTTTTCTAACCCGTTAATCTTGGCTCTTTAACAAGATATTGTTTTACACAATTATAAGTTTCTTGGCAACATCGTTGGGACCGGTAACCCTAGCTGCTCATCAGGTATTGCTGGACACGTCATACATTAAATCTTTACACGCAAGTTTTTTTTCAGTTTGTTTTAGTACAATTTTAAGTCTTAGTATAATTTGTGAAGTCATCACTTCAAATGGTAAGTCATGAACTTGTAAACACGCTTTGCACGCTAACTGAAAGGATACAGTTCTACCTACTTGAAATTCTCCCTCCTACTGGTGTTTTGAGTTCATGCTTTGTGACTTTAGGTGATGATGGGGCTTTATATCCTTTGTACAACGTGGGGAGAGCCTCTTGCACAAACTGCTCAGTGTTTCATGCCTGCCCATATCTGTGGTGTTGACCGTAACTTGCAGAAGGTAATCATAATGCCGCAATAATTTGTAAGCGTTACGATCCTTGCTGGTTTTATTTGCAGTTCTGTTCAGCCTTTCTGAAGAACAAGAATTGTCCTCAGAATATGAAATCTGCGTTTGATTGCTCTTCTTAGGTTCTAGTTCTGAGTTCGACATTGCATTTTGCGATATGGATGACCTTGCAGGCAAGAGACTTGTTGAAGTCCTTGATGAAGATCGGAATTATTGTCGGTTTTACGCCAGGGTGCTGCGCTATATCAGTACCCTGGTTTTTTCCTCAAATCTTTACAAAAGACCTTGGTATTATCGCTCAGGTATATGGTGGAGCAGATTTGATGTCAGTTTTTGGGTAGATTGTTGCGTTCGTACTATTTTTTTCAACATTCAAATGACATCAGATTCCCCAGTTTTGTTCGCATTCTCACGCCTTTTGACCTTCAAAAATGTTCGAAAAACACTGATGTGGTGAAATTTGTGATCGAGTGGCTAATTAAGAGTGTCTAACATTTTGCAGATGCGTTTAGTGTCTGTTCCTTTCCTTTTCAGCTTGATGATTACTCCACCTACACTCTCTCTGGAGGGCACTTTGCTGGTATGCAACACTACTTTCTATCTAGTTCGTGAATATTGGATGCATGTCTGCATAGATGGTACATACTCGTCCTCTAATGTGCATCGATTACGATTATTAATCAAGGTTGTGAAGGAGTATTAGCATGCCTTTCATTGATTTCATCAGTGCGAGGGTGGCTTTTAATTAGTGTGAACTATGGTTAGATGTCACTTTTTAGGACATCGTTAGATTTCAATAATTCTGTATGGACTGAAGTGTATGATAAGCACTTCTTTTGGTTTGACAATTACTCCTGAAAAGCGTAATATATGTTTTGTGAAGGCTGTCAGAGACCTGCATGCAAGGATGCTAGCAGCTTCGGTTTGCAAGGATGCTAGTCACTTCGGTTTGCAAGGGAGCTGGTGGATGCTAGCAGCTTTTCAATGGGTAAGATCATTTCTGTCATATTTGATGCATGCTTGCTGATGCAATGAAGTTTCTTTGGAAGTATGTTCAGGTTTTCTATCTATAAGCGTCATTTGATTTTAATAGAACTAATAAACTCAACGACTAGTAGCATTGATAACGACATAGTTAAAGATTGTATGGAAATAGCATGTAGTCGGTGTGTAGTTGCTGTAATTTCTCAACAACCAATTTTAATTTAGAGCGAAGAATGTCGAAGTCAGAACAACATATCATTCTTCTCTAGAGATAAAAGGACTCTCGGGGTTGAATTCTAATCCTAATATCGTTCTTTTCGACAGACTCGTTTCTTCCAGGCGTATTCTCGGTTGCATTCGTCACGAAGCGTTTTAGCGAATCCTCCGTTATCGCACGACGAAGGTTCACTGTTGCAGGTCGCGTAAAGGAGCACGATATTTCTTTGAAGCTGACTAAGCAGGAGGGCTACTACTGAGTCTATCCATCTTTATGTATGTACTTGTGCACAGATCATTACTCTCAGTTAGTGAGGCCGCAATATGCTAGTTGCCATGGGACGGCCATCATTCTTCGTAGTCAGCAATTATCATTTGACAAGCTGCTTGGATGAAGGGCTCATTCGTACCGGATTCTTCTGGGGCAGTCAGTTTCATTTTTCTACATCGAATCATGCACCCCATAAAATGATTCAAGTAGCGGGCGATGGCTAAAATTCATTCAGGACGTGTAGAACACCTAAAAACTCATGGCTGAGCTATTTAATTCATCTGTCGAAGAACGAGATTCCACCGCGTTTATAAATGTCGTCACTTTCTCCCTCCGAAATATTCTCTCCTACAGTCTTAATCCTATGACTGTCTCTTTAGTGCGAAAAGCACAATCTAGCCTTTGTTTTAACCTCCATCTGCGGACCTCAATGTTTAAAGCACCAAAAATGATTGTCTCCATATACTGACTCGAAGGTTTCCTTGTGTACTATCCGACATTTAAGCAGGAACATTTTGTCAAGCATGTGGTATACACTCCACATTTCATCAACGTGGGAAAATTTCTCTGACATGGCCTCTGATCATTCACGCATGGCCTGAACTTCACACTGTACATTGGAGCTAATTGTCTCGAGGCTAGTGAAAATCTCATGAATATGACACGCTTTGTGCGCTCAGTCTGCATTAGGGAAGATGTCATTTCATTGAGAGAAAAGGGTTTGTGGCATTTTGGCACATGAATTTTGGTACTGAATGGACGAGTATATCATCGAGGCCCTTAGCTTGGAAACTGGTGTCCCAAGTGCATCTTTGCGAAGTCTGCGAACAATCTCGTCGAATTCCCGGGTAGTCATTGCGGAGTTGAGAACGTGTGCTACAATTTGCCACTTGTTCGACACTATGTGCGTGCGGTGTCTCAGGTGAGCACGGTGATTCTGCTCACAGACAACTTCAGATGAACAATTTTTCCCGAAAAAACTCGCCCTAGAATTCTCCTGACATGCAGTCACTTAACTTTTTATCAGTATTCAATCTACTAACAACTGTTAAGAATATGAAGGGTTCATTCGAATGCTTCTTTCAAATATGGTTATTCGGAGACGGACAATTTGATTGAGTTACATTTAAATGAACAAGACACAACTTACAAGCTAAGGTCGAATGTGAAATCGACAATGTAGCACCTCTACGAAGCCGCCAATACTTCTTTCATGGGATTGGAAAAACCACTTTGCTGCCGAGACAGACCAAGATGTTGATGGCTGCAAAATTGGATAATTGCCTTGGACTCGGCTGAAGGGGGGCTCCGTGAAATTCAGAGCCGCACTCCTGGACCTAGATCCGGATTTCTAGGAATGTGGATAGAAGCGAATATTGTGTGTTGAATCCGCCTTTTTGTTACGCATGAAGTGAAAGAGAATTGTTTTGATCAAGCAATCACTCCGCACCCTGCTCCCTCCGCACCCCCGTAATAAATCGAAGAGTTAATAAAAAGCGCTGCCAATTCCCTGTTCTTGATCATCTACCGCTGCCGCTCTGCAGACAACAGGTCGGCTGTCAGCGCGTTGATGCGCAGCTCTCCCTTTGCTCCCTATCGCTCAAAGTCAGCAGACTCTGACAGATGTGTTGCATTGTGATCAACAGCGAGCTCAGCATCTGCTGCTGCTTCTCGCTCTCCACACAATCCATCAAGAGGAAGAACTCCAGGATGAAGTCCTTGTCCCTGGTGTGCACACTCCGTAGCCGGATCGCCACAATTGACACAAGACCGTAGTGCTTCAGCAACAAAGACTTTATCTCCGAACCCCATAGCGACGGTTGAGCCCGCAGTCCATGCCTGAATCTCGCAGATCTAGAGCTAGAATACATGACACAATACAGCAATGCACTCGCACCAGTGTAGTGTATCCTTAGCCAAACATTTTACACCAATTTTGCGCCTTTTCATCAAAATGGACCAAAAGTTTTTAGTCGGTCGGGCCATAGCACCATTGAAGGGTACATCAATTGCCAGTCAAACAGTAGCAGGACCAATAGGTAGCGCACAGGAAAGAATCCCGCAAGAAAGTACAAGAGCAACAAATGAATCTACTAGATGTAGAAGAGCACCCACCAACCACTTGATAATCATTCCTAGGGAAGACTCACGGAGACTATGAGAAGTGAACAAGAGCAACACACTTCTGCGAGGAGCCACTAAGAAGATGCAAACGTTGAAGGAACAACATCAGCTGGACCCCACACCAACAACGGAAACACCAAGGTATTGGACTTCGATGCACGCACAGGTAACCCTTGACCCTCCATTCCAATTAATACCTTCATTAATACGTTTGAGAATGTTGACTGCCATACTCCGATACAACTCTCAGGGGTCCAATCATTACCACCTACGGTTCACATCCCAACATTCTCAACATCCCCTCCCCAATAGAGTGGACAGTGACCAAGCAGATTACGGTGGGGACTTGGACCTCGCAATTTTTTAGGCTATTAGGAATCAGATTCAGGGGAGAAGAATAGCAAGGCAAAACCTCATAAAGAACCACCTACATCTTAGCCTTACCTTCTCCAAAATGGATTACCAGGAAGCAGCAGCCTTAGTCACTAGGGTCGCTCCGGACCTCTCAAGTTTCCTACACGCATACTACCCCCAATTTCACCGAGAAACCAATTCTTCACATCAGGCGGACGACAAGCACACAGAGGATCTTCCATCAATCCTAGAAGAGATCTCTTCTACCCCACAACTCCAACCAATCACCAACAACCAGTTGACCACTGAGGCAAATGGACAAGTCGAACAAGGTGATATCAATAAATCCCAAAATACCCTGGATTGTCCCCCACTTCTAAGGATAACAATGCCACCTGATTGCCTAAATTCATTCAAGGAAAGGATGAACAAATTGGTAAACTTTATGGTCCTACGGCACATTTCAAGCCGCACCCTGGGAATTAGACAATTTTCTATATGGACCAAAACTACTCTACATAGATCCTTTCAGCAGTTAACAATTTGCTCCAACAACTACTTCAAAATTCAGTTTTCACAAGAAAAAGGCCTGCTACACACACTAGCAAAACACACGGCTTCACCTTGGAAGGAAGGAGGAGACACCACGTTCTACACCCCCTCCCCCTTATTTTTTAACACCAATCACCATGTCATCAAATCAAATCTAAAAACCCCTCCCCCTTATTTTTTAACACCAATCACCATGTCATCAAATCAAATCTAAAAACAAGCATATGGGCCCAAATTTGAGAACTCTTGCCTTTCCTAAAACCCAAGAGTTCCTTAAAAAAACCTTAAAAAACTTTAGCAAGGTCCTCTTTGTGGATGACGTTGACACATACTTAACTAGGTGAATGAAGTTGACACTACTTAACAAGGTGATGAGGCCTCAAAGTCCCTATCTTGACAAAAAATGTAAAATCCCTTCCACAATTGATCTTATTAGTGAAACTTGACTATGAGGAGATATCAAATATACTCTAGGATATAGCAACTTCCATTCATAATGCAACTATTGTCATATTTTTTATCATTGAGTCTAAAAATACTTAGGCTTAAGCTGTCTAATAAACAAACAACTAAACTTTAAACAATATGAGTGCAATATTGCCAAAGACTCGACAATCTTTGTATCTTTAAGCAGACTCAATGATATTGCCCCTCGTCTCTCCTAATGCAGAAGCAAATATTTCAACCTAAGTACTCCAAAATCTATCCAATAACCTTTCTATAGCAACCAAAAAGGATCCAACAAATTTTCCAAATCCACCTCTCTACATGACTTTTTACAAGGTCATAAGGCTACCAAACAACACAATTGCATGAAAGCTTTTAGACTACACTTACTCCTAGCTGACTCCAAAGGGCACTATCTCCTATGTAGTTTTTTTTTCGTCTTTTTACCAATATGAAGAAGACCTTCTTGAAGCTTTGATAGCAAATCTACTAATGAAACTACATCCAACTTTGCACCTCACCCATGGTATTGGCAAAAGAATCTAATCACTGTTATTGGCAAAATTATAGTCCTTATTAATTTTAACAAGAAAATATGCTCTTTCAAAAACCTTAGTATATTGAAATGGACTCTCTTCCCTTTGCACCTTTACAATCATTTATCACATTTTCTGCCATACAAAACACATGCATGGAGAAATCAATCACATGATAAATATGATTGATTTCTCCTCTTTTATTGGATGTAATGCACCAAAATTGCCCAAGGATTTCAACCTTCATCCATCTAATACTACATAATCTAAGAAAAGCAAAACTAACTTAGAGAAGTCTCCAATCCTACAAATATAGAATCCATATAAATAACGAGCTCACCATCACGATGCTAAACATCTAAGGATTTAAACAAGACATTATATGGTACATAAGTAATGCAAGATTATGAATTTCTTTCAAAAATCTCATTCCTAATTAGAGATATTTTTAATCCAAAAACACAATTTTTTATTAAAAGTAGAAAAGAGACACATAAGACAAGTTAAGTTTACAAAAGAGCCCTCTTTTTACAATAAGGCCACCAATAGTGCTAACATATATAATTTTGAAGGTGGCAAGGACATTCTTCTCTTGTCCGGACATACTTTTGTTGGCATTTATGGAAGACACTTCCCGATGACATTTGATTATCTACTTTAGACCAAAGTCTTTAACATACATAGACTTGGATTCCAAAAATAGTGATCTTTTATTTGCCATAGATGCACTTTTTGATGAGGTCAAAAATGAATTGAGAAACAATTGCATTGATATAACCTTTCATTAATCAAATATGGAATATGAACCATCTCAAAGCATTTCATCACAAAGTCACTACGAATTTTTCTTTACCAATTCTTCATTATATAAAGAGCTTGCCACATAAGAGATCAATCTTTAATTAATTCACTCATTCGACCTAAAATAAAAAATAGAGGATATCCTAGCAAAAGTAGAAATAAAAAGACATACACAACCACCAAACTCACCTTACACACTCTCATCCCAACAATGGGTGAACAAAGAAAGACAATGCCAATTTGATACAATTCTTTATGACCTTGAAGACCTACACCATTTAGTTAGTCAAATCAGCCAAAAACAATGCTTCTTTCAATATCATTACAGTACTTAAAATCTATGTGGCAGCAAGTCAACATCTTGAAGGGAGCAACTTTTCAGCATGGATGGCAAATGAGAGACAATACTTTAATCTTGGTTTTCAATATCTTTAGTAATATGGAAAAAAAAAATAAAAATAAAAAAAATCACATACCGAAACAACCATTGATCAAACGCCAAGTATACAATTTTTATTGAATATATCCAATCAATCAATTTTTAAATACTAAGATATTAATAATTGCTAGTAGCATGAACCAAAAGCATAAAGAGAATATCATTGCTACCCCAAATTATATAAACCTACAAAACATAAGTAAGACATATACACCTTTTGTCAAAGAAATATAATTATATTTTCATTGCAAGTCTTCTATTAGCTCTAGGATATAATATATGCCATCATGAAAGTACTAGTCTAATAGCTGTACATAAAAGTCACAACATATGAATAACTCTTTTCACACATCAATAGATCCTAATGATCTACCATTTTTAAAGACCATTGGTCCACCTTCATATAGCCAATGGCCACATGTGCTCAAGTAACTATTGTAATGCACTTTGGTATTTATTTTTAACCTTAGACAAGATTTCAAGGCTAATGGCTGCAAAGTCAAAGGCTTGAGTTTAAGATTTTGAATTCAAAGGTTCAAACTCCTATTATGTGGCCAAATTCTATTTGTTTTAGAAGTAAGGAAATTCTACATATAGTAGCTAGTACTAGATGTCCTTCTAAGATCTCCCTTGTGGCTCCATCACATTCTCATATTGTTGGATGTGCCAAGAGCATGCAAAAAGATAGGGAGAATTATGACCAATGACAATCAAAAATAAAAATAAAATAAAAATACATAATGTTATTTTTATAAACTTGAAGTGAAATTTTCAAATGAAATAGATATAAAATAAAAACTAAAATAAAAAACTAAAATCATAAAATAAAATAATTTAAAATAATTATTCAACAAAATATTATAAAAAATAGTTCTAACTATAAAAGATACAAGTTTTTAATATATAATGTATAGTAAAAAAAATATTTAAATTTAGGATTTTAAATACATGTATTTGTGTGTATGTATATATATATATATATATATATATATATAAATGCAAACATAAGAAAAAAATTATTCTTTTAATACTTCAAAAATAATAATATATAATTTTGAATACTTAAAAATATAATATAAATAATTAATATTTTTTATTTATAAAATTATAATTTAAACATGATTACATATATATAGATATATATAAATTGATGAATTCTCTTTTCAAAAATAAAATTTTTAACTAAGATTTTATATATAATACATTATTTAAATAAAAACATAAATTATTGCAAGAATTTTAAATATATATGTAAAATATCCAATTAATCATACTTTTTTATAATATGCTATTTTTATTCTTCTAAAATAAATGGGATAGTTCTACATTTCTTTTGTAAACATACTCAAATGTGATTCTTTTTGCATTTAGTAATTGTGGTTAGATTATCCATCCTATGTTAAAAAATTATATTTAGATGAATATTTTTATATTTTTTTTAAAAAAGACGCTTTTATTTTTATTTATTACTTTTAGTAGAAAAAAAATTGTATTTTGTAAATACAAACCTTTTAATCTTAGATTTCTAGACAATTTTCTTTGAAACTTCTTTCATATTCTTTGATTTCTTCTATTTTATTCTTTTACTTCTTCATTTTAAGAATTTTCCTCATGATTTGTGAAGTCATTCAGGAATTCAAGTATGCATTAAAATTGTCAAAACCTGGAAACCTTGTGGTATAGAAATATAGAATGTTGTACATAAAAACACTGTTAGAATATTTGCATAAAAAATGAAATAAAATAGCATTTTATTGTTTGCACAAATTTATACATACAGAATGTTATGAAAGAACTACAAACATAATCCATGAAAGGATTTAGAATTAGAAACCAAGGTTTGGAATTTGTAGAAATATGGAATTGGACCTTTTAAGTTTTATGCAGTAAATTGACTGCTAAATGTCATCCTTTCACATAGTTTAAGTTTTTGATGTTATTCCTTTAACAATGTTTTTATTGCAAAGAAATCCATTACATTTTTTTCTTATATATGTACATATAGTAGGTGTATGCAGATATTGTCACAATGTACAACAACTAATTAATTCTTCTTTTTAATAATTCTCTTGTAAATTTACTTAGCCTTTTTTTCATTGTATAATAGTAAACTTCAATGCTAATTTTGGTGTTGTAATTTTCATACAAAAAAATTCCAATCACTTTAAACAAAATCTTATCCAATTTCTTTAATTTCATATTAAGTAACTAATAAATATTTTAAAATATATAAAAAAAAATTTCGTTAGATTTGAAAAAACTCCAAAATTTTCTATACTCCATAAATTACAAATAATTATATCAAAATATGAATATCTGAAAAATATATACATTTTAAAATTTTTTTTATCATTGAAATAAATTAAACATTTACAATAGGTGTTTATGGTATGTTAGAATAACTAAATTTTTATGTCTAATTATTTACAATTTCTTAGTATCTTTTAGAAAATAATATATTTTACAAAATTATAAATATGTATAATTTATTTAGATGTGAAATAAAAAATTTAAAAATTGAAACAAACTAATAAAATAATTATCGATAATTTAGCAAAACTACAAATCAATTGCCTCCAGTGGACTTGTTTCTTTTCCAATGAAGTAGTGCTGTTAGTATATAAGGCGCAATTGTCGATTGCACAGTGCTCAGATATCAGTGATCAACCTACCCCCATTACACCAAAAACCACTCACTGATTTCTCCTCCTTAGTGATCAAGCTCACGGTTTAATTTGTGTCGGCCGCATGATCACGGTAACCACACATGCACATCGTCACTTGTAGCCACAATGGCGGCTTCAGATCATCTCCATACTCACCTGTTTCGTAACTCCTCCTAACCTATCACCAAACTCAGCCCCGTAGAGATCAGACCACCAGAACGACCGGCTACTCTTGCAATTTAAAGCCGAGAAACTCATATGAGCCAAGAGTAGACGCCTAACGAAGTGGATCTTGCAGAAGGAACTTCCCTGTTGGGGTGTCAACCTGGATTATTTTGCCACAATTATTTTGCAACTTCAACGATGGCTTCAGGATGTTGCTTTTCAACCTCAACATTGACACCTTCCGTGCAACTCTAGCTTCATTAGGGGCAGAGGGTGCGTTGTCAATCAGTGACTCCATCCAATCGACAATAGACTGGCGCCGATCTGTGTTACACCCGATGCATAATCGATCAGTTCGATGGTCAAGTTTGGTAGTTCACTGTGATCGAAACCTCCAACTTTCCAGCCGTGGCTACCAATGCGTTAAATTTTAGATGGCATGTCTGGCATCAAGTGCGAGGAGAGCACATGCGGAATGAACCACTGTATGTGCGGTTAGCTGCTGATAAGTGAGCGAGCTCTATGAGATCAATAATGGCTCTCATTCGACCCACTCCGAAAGTTCTGACGCCGACGACTCTTGCAATTGCGTCAGAGCGTGAGAGACCGCGAATATAACGACCCTTTTCTCGTTTGTGCATCATGTAATGACGGATTCACATGAACCATCACATTACCCCCTCTTGATTCACTGTCGTCGCCCCACGCATGTAATTCTCTATCTGATAGGATTCACAAGTTACTGTTGCTGATGATCCGACCTTCCCACTCTTGGTACTCTCCGGAAATACTCAGTCGTATGACTTGCAGTCTGTACCATGCCGAGCTGAAAGGACTGTAGTTTTAGGGCTGGCTGCAATTGAGTCTGGTTGTAATATGACTATTACATGGCCTCGTCATTACTTTCACAGCTACTTGATTAGTGTCCCAATTCAACAATTTTGAACAATTCTAACTTTTTTCTTTGTAGAGGAGAGTTCATGCACACACCTAAGTTTTGTTAACGTTTTGGATTCTATATATATATATATATATATATCAATCAACCAGGATGTTACACACACTGTTTTTCATACATTGGTACAGTCCAACAGACAATGTACTGACTCTACCAACAACAAAAATGCTCGATTTCTTTCAAAGAATAAAAACAAGTACTCTACCAGTGGGTGAGAGATCATGGGCAATCTGGATGAGATTTAGGACAACCGTCTGTGACTGCGCATGGATCTAATGGAGACTGACTGTAGCACTAAGCAATATTACTATCAAATATCTTAATAAGGTGGTTAGTAAACCAACACCCGATGTCGCTGTATTAACAACACACTGTGAGTCCACTGTCATTCCCTCTTCCAGACGCACACGTCAACTGCAAGCCTGCAAACCCTACTATTTCTACCAGATTGAGCAAAATCAAGCTATTAGGAGAAGAGAATAATGCCCTCTGACCTCAGAAACCTCTAGAGAACACTGTGTGCATTCAAGTTGTGGGAGTGGTGATTTCAAACCTGCAGATGAAATGTCCATTGCAGGAAACACATCAAAACCTCTATCCGCTATCATCACAATCAATCCGGGGGTTTCAGGTCATTGGCAAGTAGTCCTTACTTGAGTTCAAGTTAACTTGTTTTTAAGCTGTTCCTTGGTCTAAACGTGGAAGTGCTCTGCAGCAACAAGTACAGATTGGAATTCCATATTGACATGAAAGGCGTTATCACATGAGAGTCAGAGAGCCACTTAGGTGGCTGCATTTATGGTATTTTGTTCCGTAGGCTGTGGATATTTTGTACAGGAAGAATGTAGATACAGGACTAGTCTTCGTTTACGTAGCTCAGGAGACCCCACAACGGAAGGAATATTCACAAAATGCACACTCCTGAGTAAAATCTTGAATCTAACCTGTTGCTCTATTAGACACTGTGATTGTTTGGTCAGCACACAGAAGAACGATAGCCTCTGCACCTCTTGTAAGTTACCCATCTCAAGGCATGCATATGCTATTTTCCCATGATAAACGACATCAAGATGCCGCACAAAGAGGTGCATTCATATCCACTAACATTTGACAATCTGCTCTATTTGCTTCAACATGCAGACGAGGTATCCTTGTTCGTAGATTTGGTGCGTCAAGACTTTCAATCTAGAAAGAATTTTTTGGCTGTCGAAACTTGTACTCGAATGATATACAGGATCCCCAAAGATCAGAAGCACTATAAGGGGTGTTATTCAGATGAGTATGCCCCCCGAAACAAGGTAGAGTTGAGTACTATCTCTACCTACGGACCCACATGCGACTCATATATTCAATGACCTTGCAAAGCACGTGACTCTTACATCGGTAAAGCAGGCAAAATTTTACCGCTACACTCTCCAAAGCCCACGCAGAATCCGTCACCCTGCAATGCGTGAGGCTCATCAGAAGAACCATTTATAAATGTGCAGACCATTCGACAGAAGCAAGGAAAGGTGAACATGAAAATAAAGTCAGCGTCTGTTCCTAAGCATTACCAAAAGCCCGTACGTACAATGACCCATCTCTCAAAAATAGTACATCTTCTGAATACGAAACTCAATATGTGGTACTGAAAGCAGTCATTCTTACACACCTGACAAACAGCTGTCATGATCACTTTGTCGCCATCTTTCAAGAATTTCCGGATACCACCATGCTCTAGCTTGATCTCCTTGGAGCCTGCCCAAGACTGCTCCAATAAAGAACCCATGCTTCCAGAATCCTGTTCACGATCAACTCTTCCTTAGATATTTTCTCTGATATTTCACTACTCCAGATTCCATCCTTTACACAGTCAAAATTGAAGCAACCTAATACCGTGCCTGAAGGACTCGTTGTGTTGAAATGGGCTAAAAGCGCACATCCGCACCTAAAAACTCATCAAACTATGAGGATTTAAGATGTGACCAAGGCATTGAACGTTTAAACTGGCAAAATTGAAATGGTTAAGGTGTGCATACCGGTCCGCTAATAGTTCCTGATGCCAACAAGTCCCCAGGATTTAGATTGCAGCCGTTGCTAGTGTGATGAGCAAGCTGTTGGCATACTGTCCAGTACCTGCAAAAGGGTTCCATTGCTCTCAAGTTGTTAGCCAGCCATGTACAAAAAGACAGTAGGTGAACTGAGGGAACAGAGAGCATCAAACTACATGAAAATAGTGGCTTCAGGAGCTTATATCGAGAGACAAATGGCTTCTAAACCGTCAATGAATCAAGACTTGAAATGAGTAAGATCAGGGTAGTACAAATATTTGAAGTTGCTATTGCAAATAACAGAAGCTTTTGATTCACCCTCGGGACTAATTGCCACCTGCTTCCAGAACATGGCGTTGAATAAATCTCCAACATCAATAGGTGCCGGTGGTAAACTCACACAACAAAATATACAAAATAATAAGATATTACGATAATCCTTGTTAGGGGTAGACATGATAGTGGAGCTAACCTAGGGTCAATGGTTTAGATATATCCCAAAAAATGCATCTCAATAAAACTTGACTCCAATCACTTTGGACTTTGATGAGAACAAAATATTCTGAAGGATGTAAATCACCTGGAGTGGGATGTCATAAGTGAAACGTTTCTTCTCTGTCAGATACGGGAGTGCGGGTGGATCCTGGCAACAACAGCACCAGAATAACCAGTCAATATAACCTTTTCTCACATTGAAACTTTGATATTGTTATGAATTGTTCGAAAATTAACATACTTCTGACTCACGTGGTGTGTCGGAAGAAAAGACGCATAGCAAAGGCACCAACCTGTACAGGTGCATCACAAATAAACGGCTCGAGCGCCTCCAGTGTTACAATCCATGGCGAGATTGTTGTTCCTGCAAGTTGTTATCACAACCCCAAATGTGAGCATGATTGGTCGCTATGAATAACCTTCGATATTCAATCAAAAAAGACTTCAATGTTCCGCTAACTATAAAGAGGGAAATTGCTGCAAACTAATAATACTTGTGTACATACCAAAGCTCTTTCCAAGGAATGGTCCCAATGGCACATATTCCCACTTTTGTATATCTCGTGCTGCCATCCAAGTCACCAATCAGCAAGATTTTTACAATCGTCATGATAGAACTATCACGAGCTACGATACAATCTACAGATTACGTACTCGTTATAGGAAACTCATATGAAACTTAGAAGCTGAAAATTTCAATGAAGTGAAACCACTAGAGAAGAGATCAACACACCACTCCAGTCGTTCATTATAACAAAACCAAATATGTGATTAGGAGCGTCATCTACGCTCACAGTTGTCCCAAGTTCGTTTCCTGGTCCAGCGAAAACAGCCTGCAGTGACACCCCCTTTCATTTTAGCCTATAGCATGATTTGCCCAGCATCCACTTTGAACCTTAAGTCCATATTTGCATCTTAACCAGCCAAACAACAGTTTAACAACATACGTTTAACTCATCAAACAAGACTCACGGGATACCATTTCAAGCTCGAAGTCGAGAACAGCTGAGGGTTTGAATTCAGGACTCTTTTTCCCGTCTGGCGGAGCGGTTTGACCTCTGAAGTACAAAAGCACCAGAAAAATTTGAATACCAATAATGTGAGGTCACAGAACAAAGTGCTGCAACCTGTCCTGAGTACAATAAAGTAGTGTCAAAATACGCCAGCGAGAGTCAAGTCATCAGGCCCGAAGTACCTGGGCCGTCTAATATCTGTCCCTGATATCACCACGGAGGACGCTCGGCCGTGATAACCAATAGGTACATGTAACCTGCATCAATAAAAGCGGCTAAATAAATACCCTGTAAATGATTCAAAAAGTAAATATGGTGAGTGACAAAGTGAAGCAGTAACTTCAAGGTTGCAAACAAGCTCATTCAAAGCTATGTGGTACAGCAATAATAATAATGATAGTAATGCATGGGTCACTGTCCAACAATACTTGTGTTGGTGCAATCAAAAACAGCAGGAAATAAAAAAGATTCGAAGGCCTGTAATACAATTTGAGATACTTCACTAGATGGTACCCAAATGCACAAAGACGTGTGTCACTTGAGCACCTTTTGAGAAACACTGAACAGAATTTCAAATATTAAAGCCAAAGGTTCCTATAAAAGCAAGCAATATATCTAAAATTGCACCAGTTAGCAAACCCAGGCACGAACAAGTACCAGTTAGCAGGAAGCGCGAGTTCTTTGCTCCGAAAGATGGTGCCCGTATTGGTAGCATGCTCCTTGGACGAGAAAAAATCGGTGTAGTCGCCAATCACTGCCGGCATCTCCATTTTCACTTTACTCTGCTCCGCCAACAAACACAAGGAAATCAATATCTATAAGTGCGCCTGATTAGGTCGATGAGGGTCCTCAAGATCAAAACAATCATGTACTAAATTTTCAGTCGTAATCAAGTTTCTGAGCAAGTAAAGGAGAGATATGAATATCACCATAGGAATAATCGCCTTGGAACGTAACTCATCGTTGTCCCTCAACGTGGGTTCATCAGCTGCGCAAGACAGCACAATTCTGTGTCCCGTTAGATCAATCACGATCTGCACCTTTCAAAACAGAAGAGCAATGGTGATTATGACATGAGCTGATGGCCATAATTCTTCTAATAAATCAACTTCTTTTAGACTTAAGGAAATATATGATTCGAGAAAAGGTAGGACCGTGTTGAAAGAAAATGGCCCAGCACAGCTTCTACTTCAGCAATTCTTTAACTACACGCAACGTCAGATTCAACAGCACATTCAAAACAACATCCTAAGCTCTGTATGTACAGAAAAGATTCCTTTTGTAAGGACATGGAACCGGCAGAAGAACTGCCCGTTCGTGAGTCAAAGGTGTGAAGAAAACCTACACTATCATCACTCATGATCTCACAAGGTTTCTTACCGGACAGTAGCTTCTGTAAGGTTACTCTTGCCTCTTTCCATGCTGGTCTCCCTAGCGCCATGAACGCGTTCAAAGAAGTCTGCAAGTGCAATGTAATATACTCATTAAGGACAAGACATTAAGAAATCGGTTATAGATAGAAAGCTTTTCTCAAATTCGATCCGCATTTAATTGCAGCACAGCATTGAGCGGAATGATCAACTATCGTACTGGGAAGAGAAAAGCCTGTGAGAGGGATAGAAAGATACCTGAGAGAAACAGGTGGAGTTAGATAACAGAGGGCCACTGAACAAACCAGCATCGGAAAGTACAGACAGATCCACAACAGAGTCACCAATAGCAACTCCAGGGCGTGGAGTTGCGCCAGAACTTGGCCGGAACACTCCGAAGGGTAAATTCTGAATAGGGAATTGGGAGCCCGGCGCCACGTCCACGAAGGACTTCATCGAAGAAGCCATAGCCAAAATCTTTTCTAGCCCCAACAAACGGAGGCGCAGGAACAAACCCTGAGGGTTCAAACTCCGCAGAAATACTCAGTGATTCTTTACAATTGCACGCTTTCTGAGAATGAACAGTGCAAGAGGAGTCAACAGTAGGTTGAGTAACAAAACCCGATAGAAAAAGGACACTGAAAAACTAGCATTGCGCATCTGATCAAGGGCAACATGCGTATCCGCAAGAAACGAAAAAGGCTTCGAAAAGTGAGAGTATCATTTATTAAAGAAGCGGATTGCAACACATGAACAGGAAGATGGAGAATGAAAAGGAACAACAGGACGCATTCCTTGAACAATGGGATAAAGGGAAAAGGTACATATGCACATGTCTACAGCCGAAGGCCTGTGGACCCACAAATTTCATCGCAGGCTTCCAACTCCGAGCTTACTACTACCATTCACCTAAACACAAAATTGGTGCCACTTCTCACAAAGAAAAACGGCGGATCCCTCTTACAGTCAATCCAAAAAGGAGCGATCAAAACTAACATGCCTAGAAGCAAATCAAGCGCATTGCAGAGCGGGGTGAAATTCGGCACAATCTCGTAATTACACGATCGCCGAGGAGCATAAACACTACCTGATTTCAGCACCAGAACGCACAAGAATGTGTCAACAACTTCACACAAATCACATCTACATACGCAGCGGAATCTTAGCCAAGGGCAAAGCCATGACCACTGACAAACTGCGCACTGAACGAGAGGGCTTTCTGGGTGTCAACCAGGCTCCGGAGGCGACCCAAAAACAGAGACGAAAGTTAGAATTGATACAGGTGAAAATATTCACACAACACGCATAGGAAGGAGGAATTCGGATAGACAAGTGGAACAAGGAGATGCAAACTCGCTGGCACAGATCCGATCGAGAAAAAACGAACTAACCCACAGCCAGCAATTGATGATAGAGCAACGGATAATCTGAGTAGACAAGTGTATCACGCAATGAAGAGCAACATCATGCAAGGGCTTCTTCACAACTTGATACTGCGATCACCCTCTCACCAGCAGCGGATAAACGCTCACGAGGGCCTCGTCAGCTGCACGTCAGACAGGATGAAAGCCCGAGCGAGCTCTCTTCCCGACCGCTGCTGTTGTTGCTGCTGCACAATTCCCCCCCCTTCAACTTAACCGATGAGCTCAAGACGAGGCAATTGTACGACATGTGTGTAGTAGGGTGAAAATGTGCACAAGAGCAGTGCGAAACTGGGGCAGCGGGCGTCATCTCCGAAGCATGAGTGGTGGATGAACCTCGTCCAGATACATTTTTTACCCAGTTATGACGCGATTCTCAAATTCCAATTCGACCCAATTCCCTTCGACCACAAAATTATTTATTTGTTTATTTTTAGTCTCTCCTCCACTCCTCGTCGCTCTTCCCCCTTCTCCTTTTCTCACCAGCTTGCTCTTTCCTTCATTCAGCTGTGTCGCGCTTTTCAGGCTCTCGCGGCCATGGCGGTGGCATCAGTCAAGGGCTCCCGATCATGTCTTTCTCTGTCCTTACCTCCTTTTGTTAATCTCACACGCCTTTTTTTGTTATAATCAGTATAATTTATTTATTTTCTTTAGGGTTTTGACAAGACATTCCTGTGCCTCGTGCTCACCTCACGAAGGGTTTGTGTTTGTGTTTGTTTCTTTCTATCTTTCTTATGTTTTTTTATTGGGTGTTTGAACGTGTGAACGACTGGGCTTGTGTTTGATTGTGTGTGGTTTAATGTCTCAATGTATTGTCAATGTAGTGATTTGTAGTATGTACACAGCTCCGAAGGAAATGTTACAGAGGGTTTGTGTTGTGTAGGGTCCCAGTTCAGTGGCTGTGTGCATCAAGTTGCCCTCCTCTCACACATTAACATCAAATCATGGGTCTGAATTGGTCCAACGGGGGAAAACTTTCTTATATGAAATTTTGGTTTTTTGTTTTTGTTTGTTTAGGAGTTTGTAGTTGCAGGGTTTAAGATTTTAGAACGACGAGGAAGGATGAGTTTGAAAGGAACCTAACTTGTCATTTGAGAATTCTTTATATTTCTTCAACACCATTCTGAGTGGATTTAGTTGGTATAGTGTTTTTCTTTTTGGCCTTATAATATTCATTGTCCAAAAGCCTTGTAATAGTCCCTTGTTTTGTAAATAAAAGTTGTCCTTTGTAAACCATTATGTTTGGAGATAGTATTAAAAAAGAAGAGGTTATGATATGAATCTAATTGTTTTTTTTTTAAAATTACATTTCCAAATATAAAAACACAGGTCTTGAACAAACCATTATGATACATATTTTCCAGATTTTTTTTACACTATTCTATAAGTTTTTGTGAAAAACTTCTTTTAGTGGACTCAAGACAAATTTCAAGAAATAACATTGTCCATACCTTGTAGGAAAATAAAATAAAATAAAATAAAATACTTTAGCTTTTTTGTACTAACTGGTATTTTTTTAACTGTAAAACTAACCAAGATAACCAAATTAAAATATCACAATCATATTATTCAAAATAAATAGAGTCTTATTATAAATCTTAAAATCCTGTTGGGCATAATTCAAAATACATATGAAACATATTTTTTTAGTATTTAGATTCAACAAACATTTGTCTCACAACAAGTAGATGGTACATTGAAACATAGCATGCATTAATATCCACTGAAATTGTAATTTTCAAAATTTATCTTTAAACATTAACAATTCAATTATTTGATTTTTGAGTTGTGTTTTTTTTTTTTTTTTTTTTTTTTTTTCAAATTATTTACCTGTTTTGGAGTAATCTAAAACATTTCTTAATATTTTTTTTGTTTACATAGAAAGACAAGAGATTTTAAGTTTTTAAAATATGTACAATTCAATTGAAATTATAATACAAGATTTGTCAATTCTAACCAAAAAATTCCATATTTCGTGTAGTTTTACTTCCAAAAACTTCTTGAATTTACACACACACACATATATAGAAAAGCGTCGTCGAAGGGCCGAACCCTATAACAGAGTGGGTATCGCTCATGTTCATCGTAATCTCTCTCTGCAAAGAGCCACTTCTTTTCATCAGCTGACCTGAGTCCTGGGTGTTCCTTGTGGGATTTCGAGATACAGTATTTGTCTGAGGTTTTTGTTCCGTTTCTGTAGTTGAGTTCTCACACATAGTTACACCATTAGATGAGAACCAACGTGAGAGTTTTACGATGCAGAGTGTGCGTGCATTCCATCTAAGGTGCTTTGCGGTCAATACATTGCATGGTACTTATATAGGAGTGCGAGAGTGAATCCCTTGCGCCTTCATAAGATGACGCACTTTGGAGTTGCACAATCTTCACAGTAAGGGAAATATTTCCAGAGATGGGATGAATCTGTCAATCCTCTCTCTGTAGTATCATCAGGATTTAGGGTTCTGGTTTTCAGGAGTTTACTGCTCTGGTTTTTTTGTTCATGAGCAAAGTCCCTGTCGATTTACAAAACCGCATCGTGTTTTGTGCATGATGGCGCTTGAAAGCCCTTGCAATAGCAATGTGCGGTGGATGCTGGTGGGTGCTCCAAAGTAAACCGAATACTTTATAAGTCGGGGAATGTCTTGCTTTGAATATCATGAGCATTTTAGTAATAATCTGATTCCGCTTAACTTTGTTGAAGAAGATTCATGAAAAGTAATTGCTTCGATTACATTTTGATAGGCTACCTAGGATTTTGATGATTAGTTTTTTATTATTTAGCACTGGCATTGGTTTCCCGCAAAATATACATATGATTTCGAGGTTTTTCCAACCCTTAAGTTACAATTCGGCGGCTCTGCATCTCTACAGAGTTACACCGGACATCATACTCGGCATCAATGTTGACCGCTTCATTCCGTTTGCAGCTGTCTACTGTACAAGTTTGGTCGAGGCATGAAACTATCAGCTTCGTCCTTAATGCCACTCAAAGTGAAACCACGAAAAAAACTTGTTCCTTTCGTTCCAATGGTGAATAAACTCCTAAATACGTCGCAAAGGTTTGTGAAACTTAATGCCCTCTTTCAAGTTGAGCTTCCAATTCTGCCCGGCGTCTATGTACCTCCTGGTCAGAGTCATGAAAAGCAAGCAATTAAGTTAATATAAATAGAGCAAGCATTGAGGAGCTAAGACAAACGTCAGGAATACTATCTATTCTAGAACTGATGGTCAGAACAAAGCAATACCTCTAGGTCTCTTTGTGCTTGTTCTCGCCAATTATCTTTGTGCATGTAACTGCGTTTCACGGCTCCGAGACACAATAATCCCTGGAAAAGAACAAACAGACAAGCTGTTAGTAATTGAAATTTGAGAGCCACTGCAAGATCTCTCAGGCCGTGTATTGAATCAGCAGGGGTGGGAGTTCCCAGCTCAAGTCATGAATTTAATCAAAGTAACAAAACGCAGTACTGTTGTGACTGGCGAAGAAAACTTACAGCAACAATGTAGACGATTCCACATCCCAGTAGCCACCAGCTAGCTATTTTGTGCAATATGCTTTCTGCACCCGTCTCGCCGCTTGCTCGGGCCAGCACCTTTGTCAAAGCTGCCACGCTGTACGACAAGAATGAGTGTCTGCTTTGTGACTTGGGAACAGGTGGTGATCTAGTTGCAATCTCTTTACCAATCAAGTTTTATGAAGTACCACTAACTAAGTCTTTTGAAGATAACCACGTCCAGGTCTAATAGTGGACTCAGGTTTCAGGGTTTAGGGTTCAGACATGACCACGTTCACGATGTCATAGGCTGTTTTCTACACACACAACTGATTTGAACCCAATAAACAGACCGCGCAGAAAATTTCTCAAGAATACTCACAAGATCTGGAGAGTGCCGCGCCCTACCCAGTACTCCAGTACCTGAAAATGAAGTTTAGTAAGAATTGATGTCACCGTCAACTGTCTGTGGAAGTAATAGACACAGTACAACTGGGTTTGTGGTTGACTGCTTTAATTTGGTCCTTAATAGAGTCAAAATAACTCGAAAGTAGCAGGCATAGGTAAGAAGAAATAAATTAAAGTTTTTAAGCACGCAGATTGAAAGAGTTACAGTTCAGTTACAAAAGCTACCAAAGAGCAAGAAAACTGTGTGATTTGTGACAGGATAGACCTAACGCTTGCAAATAAACTAAAAATAAATAAATAAATAACTCACAAAAATTGGTGCTTGCCAGATGTACAATGAACACCAGCAGAAACACTTTCGATTCTAAGGCAAACCACACAAGCAAAAGCCAGGGAAATTTCACGGAGATGATTGAATACCTTCCAAAATCTGAAGATGGGTACCCACTCTGTTTCAGCGATGACCACCAGCAAAGCAAAAGCTACTGCGTAGAATCGCAGGATGCCAATGAACACCTGCCACACGTACAATTCGAAAAATCTTGATAAGCGAATTGACTAATACGATCATATCCTTCGCAACACCACAAACTCTGGATTGGACAACGTAGACAGGCAAATAATCAATTCTCAAAGCCTGGTCTACACTCAGCTAAAACTCGTAACAAGAATCTGCAACTTATGTTGAGAATCCTTGCACCAAACCTCGTGCTAGACAGGGCTTTAATCTAATCGAATTGTCATCCTCAACTATTAAAACTAATCACAGGGTCGTTCCTGCGATCCAAGCGTCCAATCATCATTACCAGAACAAAATGCCGAAGTTCAAAATTTTAGCTACCAATGGGGCTCAAGGTGTACATATTGCTGCAGGCCGTAGAAACATTCGATTTATTGCAGAATGGAAGGAACCTGCTCTCAATAAATCAACACAATAGACCTCGGACTTAAGGGAGGAAGAATTACTACTCTTGTTACGGTCAAGCGACAACGAAACAAACAGTCGAAGAGGGGGCAGAAGTGAGGGGGATGAGGACACATACACTGACGCGATAGTCGAAACCCCGATAGTCGTAAGACCGCAGGAGAGAGACAAGATTCACCACCATACAAAGCAACGCACCCACTGCAGTAACGAGGCTCAAAACAGCGCAGATGTAGAGCAGTGTGCTTTTCTCCGTGGTGCGCGGCGCATTTTCTAGCATGGGAGGGGACCCCGCGGCCTCCGCAGGCAACAGAGGCGCCTCTACGTCCCCTTGATAGGGAGGCACAGCCCGACGCTCCTCTCCTGAATCCACCGCACTGGTGACACCATCTTTGTAACCCATCTCCCCCCAAACACCGTGAAATCAAGATGTGGGTCTTCGTCAGATTACGAAACCCAGAGTGGGGGCAAGTTAACAAGGAGAAGGGAGAGGGAGAGAGGGGGGGAAACAGAGCAAAAGCACAATCGAGGTCTCGGTGGAGCTTTCACAACAACTAGAAAAGAAGAAAAGCCAAGATGCGCATTCTGGGTGCTGGAGATGCTGAATGACAGACAAGTGTTCGGATCATAGAGATGCTGAGTCACCATTGCCAGCTCGGCTCGTTCTCTGGGTTCTCCACGTGGCCACTCTCTTGTCTGTGCTCTCAGGAAAAAAAAAATACTTTCCACTTGGGCACATACGAAAAGCGTCTTGAAAGTACTCGTGGTTAATGCAAATGAGAAGAAAAAAAAAAAAAAAAAAAAAAAAAAAAAAAAACTCTTGACTAGGGACCAAATTAAACCAAATAAAGTTTCGGCAATTTAAACTCCAGTTAATAGTTATAGGATCTCGACAGTTTCGCTAGGGTGAGATTTTGGGCAAAAGACCGACCTCATACTGGCTTGAACAGTGTAGTAAACAAAGAGACAAATGTTGGTCTTTACAAAACGTTGTAATTTAGAATCTGTGTGTTTACAGAAGCTGTGTGTGCGCACTCTTAGTGATGCAACTGCACCTAGTACTGACTACTGGAACCAGCAGACAAGAGTTGACTTTAGCACAGATATCCTGGCATTTGGCAGAATACTGGTAAAAATAAATGAAAGAATGTACTAGCAAAACTCTCTAGGATGATTGATCAGGCCAAATCTATTTTGAAGGACTTCGTTGACATGGGAAGCACAAGCCCTTGCTTCTAGACCATGTTGCTTCAAGGCCTGGATTCTGTGGCACACCTCCAACTTCAAGGGAAAATACCGCTCACCCGGTAGCAGGTCGCAATTCTCTCAATAGCAATCAAGTATGCAGCTGTGCGAAAATTACACTTCTGCACACAATTAGAAGAATCTATTAGCTCTTGAGATTCGTTTGATACGTAATGAGACATTGAAGAGAGCTAAGCTTAAGCAGACTCAATTCTACAGTATAGGGATATAACAATTCAACTGTATAAGAAACAACCACGAAGCACTGCATTGCAATAATCACAGTCCAAGGAGAAATAAGAGGCATGTTGTTTTTTTTTAAAAAAAGAGGGAATTACCCTTTCTTCAGCTATTTTTTTCACACATTCCCAGCTCGACAACATGGTTTCCTCCAGGCCAGACCAGACAAAATCAACTTCCGTATTCCTGCATACAGAAACAGAAAGTTGCAATTAGTCGCGAGAGGTTGTGATAGCCTATAGTAAATAGTCAAGCACACGGTTTACACATAGTAACTCTGTTGTACAAAATTTCAGCTTGCAAAAGAGAAGAACATGTACCCCTTAACGACTTGGCTTCGAACTGTGTCAGAGAACCTATGGCCGTTTCCGAACTCATTCTCCAGAGCATCAATGAGTACTCTTTTCCCTCTCTCTTCCATGCGTTTACTCATGCGTCCGAAGTGAATGTGGTTTAAGTTTTTCAACCACTCGAAGTATGAGACTGTCACACCTCCCTGCACAAATAAGATTCTCTCTCAAATTCACGACTTTGCAACAGTACTTCAGATGACTGAAATTAAACATACAGACAAGTCGTCAAAGAAGAACCAATCATTGTCATTACCAGCTTCTTCAGGTGAAAGTGAATATTTTCAGAAAACTTACAGCATTTAGCAATAAATCAGGTAAGATGACCACATCGTTGTCTTCCAATATCGTCTCTGCCAAAGGAGTAACTGGGCCATTTGCAGCCTCCGCCACAATTTTAGCCTGGAATTTCAAATCGAAAAATATTTAGTGTCATTAGAAGCCACTTAGGTTGAACTAGCCCCTACTACAGATATCACCACTCAAACCATCAAAACAGACAATACCCAAAATCGAAAAGTTAACACAATTGAATCCAGACGGTACCTTAATGTTTCCTGCATTTCCAGAGTGAATCTGTGATTCTAGGGCAGCAGGTATCAGCACGTCACAAGGAAGTTCTAAAATGCTTGGGGCAAATTTCATCTGCACATTCATCAATCAAAAGTAAATGGTCTACTCTTCGTTCCATTTGCAACTGACCGTAAGAGATTGCAAAATTAATTCACAGAAAGATCAGTCAACTTAGTTACTTCACTCTGACAATTTACCAGAAAATCTTACCGTCTTAGCGCCGGGAAATCCCGTGATTGTTCCCTTCTTTTTATGATAGGCCTTCACGGCAGGAATATCCAAGCCATCCCCCGACTCGTCCACCAAGCCTCCATCCGCCTCAGCAATGGCAATGATTTTTCCTCCAGCACCATGTATGTACTAGAGGACACACAAAAGTGTCAGCTATCCAGAAGATCATGTTGTTAGAAACCATTAACAATAATTAAAAGATTCCTTCTTTCCCAACTCTAGCATTTGTACACGATATATTGTACATTATCAAGTCTTTTCAAACATCAAACAAAGATGTTGATTGATTGTTTGCTTACATCGACTGTGTGACGACCTACATTCCCGAAACCCTGTACGATGAACGTCTTCCCCTTAATGCCTTTCGTCATGCCCAACCTAGCAACCAGGGTCTGCAATCGTTGAAAGACGCATGTTTTAGAAGCCATCCACAACATATTCCACATTTATTTCTCACTCTTCATTTCTTGCAAATAGCATCACTGGCAAAACGAAGAACTGAGCCAAGCCACTGTGTCGATCAAGACGCACAACATCGAAAGAATTCTAGTTGCAGAACTACCTCATCATTGAGAAACTCCCGCAAACAGAAGAAAACTCCTAGTCCCGTTGCCTCTGTCCTTCCATCAATACCTCCCTCCTCCAAAGGTTTTCCAGTTACACAAGCTGAACCATTAATATCATTCGGCTGCAGGTGCTCAAAAGTATCTTTAATCCATGCCATTTCTTGGGGACCAGTCCCATAGTCAGGAGCTGGTACATCCTGCACAGGAAGAAGCCAATTAAAAATGTCAACCAACTCCTCCGACATACTTGAAAACTTCAGTATTGCTCAATGACAACGTTGCATGTGACTCTTCAGATACTTACGATGGAAGGTCCAATGAAGTTCTTCCTCACAAGCTCGCTGGTGTACCGCCTTATTATAGCTTCCTTCTCGTTCATAGAATATTTCGTTGGGTCTGTAAAACACCAGATGATGGTCAAATTTTCCATATATGAACCGGAACATCTTTATCATAGTGTGTACGTCTCCCTTCAGTGGAGATCTTACAAGAGTACAAAGAGAGAATACTCGAGATTGACACAGAAGTGAGCAGCTCAATTAGAGGAAAATAGTTAAGCAACTTTTAGAAGATGAATGGTTAATGAGATTACCGATTTTAATACCACCTTTTGCACCTCCAAAGGGCACATCAACAACGGCACATTTGAATGTCATAAGAGCTGCTAGTGCCATGGTTTCATCGGCATCAACGTTTGGGGCCATACGGATTCCTCCTTTCACTGTGAGATACACAGAGGGTGTGGTTCACGGATTTCAATTTATTAACAATGATATCCGCAAGGACGAACACGTTTATTCGCTGACTGCAACCTAGTCACGAATTTGGCCAAGGAATACAGCAAGTGATAGGAAAGAAACACATGAGAAGTATGGCTAAGAACTAACCAGGAAGACGGTGGTGTGAATGTTGTGCGCGATAACCCTCAATGAGCTCCACAGTGCCATTTGCGCACTTCAAGGGAAATTGTACTTTCAGAATATTGTTGCAAGCCTGTTCAATACCAGTCAAAGCAAGCGCCAGTGAGAAATTCTGAAAAATCCCCTATAAATTCGATCAAATTTGATAATTAAATTTTGAGCGAAAAATTGAAATTCTCATTCCAGCTAAAAGCCAGCTCTTGAGCTATCACGAGCTGGGTTTCGAGAGGTTGTCAAAAAATTAGACAATTGATCCAGCAAAAGAGATGGATAATACAATGGCTGCAAGAATCAAACAGCGTTCGTTCGAAGTATTGTAGAACAGCACGCGTGAAAGCTCAACCTACCTTTATCTGGGCAAGAATGTCTGGGGTGGTGGAGGCAATTGCAGCAGCTTTGTCAAAATAAATGTCCACAGACTCCAAAAATGATGGATCGCCTGCACAATGGGCGTGATCCAGGAAATTAGTCAATCGACAATCACTAACTTTTTTTTTACAGTTTTCATCATTGAACGCCCCGTCAGCTGCACGACAGGCTCGGCCAAAACTGGTGATTTGCCGAAACATTCCTCAAAGTGTTTTGTAAGTCCATGATGAGAAACGAGCAAAAATAAAAGTTCAATCGCCCAATCCGAGTGGAAAGAAAGTTGCTTTTGGGGCATGTCCTGTACCATGCGCAATGGCGCCATGTCCAGCAGGTGTCGTGGTAGTAGAAGTAACCGTCGTGGTGGTAGAAGACACCGCGGCGGCAGTCGAGTAGCGGATGCGAGCACCGGCAGCTGCGCATAAGAGCGCAAACGGTCCCCGCGTGGAGGAGGCTCCTTTTATCAAGCGAATTGCCATTGTCATGATCGTAGTAGTGAATTTTAGAATGTTCCTCAACAAAATTATTGGCCTGTCACCCCCACTGTAATGAGTCAGATTCCTCTTGACAAGCAATGTGATGAAAACTCTTCAACCGATGGATTCCCACTCTGATTCTCAATCGGAATGATCGGAGGACCAAATGTACGAGAACGAAACTTCAACAAACAATTGTTTCCAGTAACCTCATGGATTTTTAATACCCGTCAAATACACAACTCTACCTTAGACGAGGCAGTGATCTTTCGCAAAGATCACTAACATAGGACGACGCTTTTACAGCAATGACCACGCTAGATTCAATTCCACAACAACCAAACACAATCAATTCAAATCATCACATCTCGTTCCAACTCAAGTACGCAAAATCCCACAGAGGAGGACAACCTCTCACACAATAACGCTACGTCAAGATCTACTGCTCACGTAAAGCTCGAAAGATAAATTAAATCAAATTAAATTAAAGTAAGAAGAAAAAAGAAAAATAGAGAAATTGCAGTAATAAGCTACAGCAGCGACGAAATGAATCTCAATTGAAATCCAATCACAAACCAAAGCTACAACGCTAAACTCACAATCACCACTCAACGCAGGGAGATGTGCAGAAGACGAAATGTCCTCCTCCCTCCCAACCGAGAAAAAAAAAAAAAACAAACAAACAAACAAACAAAAAAAAAAAGCAAAAGGCAAAACAAGCTGGATTGGATTCAGATCAATGAAAGGAACTTACAAGCTACACGGCACACTAGGACGAAATCGAGGAGAGCAGAGCCTGGGAGTTGCCGGCACAAGGAAAAGAGACGATGGCTGAAGCGATGGGAGAAAAGCTGGATGCAGATGGAGGATAAATAGAGGAAGCAGGCAAGGAGCAAGCAGCAGGCAGGGAAGAGGAGCGTGAGCGTGACAAGAGGGACATGGTAAAGTGGTGAAGCAGGGGCTAGCTGCCTGCTGCTGATCTCAATGTGCTACAACTACTGCTACTACTCCTGGTCCTACGCTCGCTTGCAATTGCATGGGACTTGGGAGTCACAAGAACCACAACAACAACAACGACAACAACAACAGCAACAAGATACGGAAAGGGCGCGGGCGAGGGCGAGGGCGAGGGCGGGGGAATAATACATATAAAAAAACAAAAGGTGGCGACACAATCAGAGTGAAGACAGCGGGGAAACAACGGATTCCAGCACCACGTAGAACACACACTCACTCACACACTCGCACACAATTGCAAGTCGACGACGCTGAGACTCGACGCCGCTTCTCGCCATCCTTTATTACTCCCCTCCCCTCCCTCCCTCCGTCCGAACTCCGTCCGTCCGCCCCTCCCTACGTCTGTTCGTCCGTCGATATTTCACCATTATCTCGACGGCGGTGGTAAATTTCGTCGTCGGCTGCGCGTTACCTCCTATTCCAAGTTACCCCCCTTTTCTGGTTGACGAGTAAAAGAACCCGACGCCTCTCCCTCCGACTTTTCGTCGTTCTCACGATTGCTGTCTTTTTTTAGTTGACGTCGTTCAGTGGTAATTCAACTATTTCCGTTCGTTTTTTTTTTTCGTTGATGTTGTCCGGTGGTCGTTTAGAAACAGTGCATTGAATAATGACCCCGTTTGGACAGTGGATTGTGTTCTTTTTGCTTAAATGAAGAAACTTGAACTTGTCAAAATAGAATTGCACAATTAGGAGTAAAGTGAAGAATTTACTCGATTAATTAATTTAATTTGTAACAACGATTTTTTGGAACTATGTGTTTAGATTTATTTATTTATATATATTTCCAACATTACGTATGTGATGATTTTCAAACACCAACTGGTAAGGTGAGGAACTGTTTTCCCACGTAAAAGTAATGGCCTCATAAGGGAGGCAATTTTGTATGGAATTTGTGGGGGACATGGTAACTTTGGCCACGTAGACTGGCCCGGTCGTTCCACGTCGGAAGGGTCCATGCAGTTAAAGCATGGGTAAGCACAAAAGGTGCCCACCTGGCAACTTGGCCCATTTGACTTGCCATGTCAGATTTGGTTATTTTAAGGAGTTTGCACCGAGGGATGCATTATCTCATTCCATAATAATAACAACAACAATAATCAAATCGTCAAAGGAAAATCTCGCATATTTTTAGTTCCTTGAGTTTTAGATATGTGGGGAGTGAAAAGAAGACACAAGAAACCCAACTTTATTGAAACTTTGTTTGAAACTTCTTATTTATTTATTTATTTATTTATTTATTTATTTATTTATTTATTTTCTATTTTACAAGAATGGAGACCCAAAAGGAATGCATTTCTAGGGCCAAGGTCATGTGGAACAAACGGCACCTTTTCAATACCCAATGTAAGAAAATATTCATTTTTGGGGATACACAAATGGAATTTTCTGACAAAGTGCAAAGATCTCTTTGAAGAGTATTTGTTTTATTTTTTATTTTAAATTATTTTTTTCCCATTTTCTTAAGATTTATTTATTTTTCCCATAGTTATAAAAGGAACAAACATGAACAGTGTCAGCTCTCAAAACCATTCCACGGTGAGATATGGATGAATATATAGATGAATGTATGTATGTATGGATAGATGGATGGATGGATGGATGGGATTCAGATCTCTTTTGGATAGATGGATGGATAGATGGATGGATGGATGGATGGATGGATGGGATTCAGTTCTTTTCTTCGATCTCAAGTGGACCCACAAAGCAGCAACGAGGTGAGCGCTCTTCCACAAATTTTGCATGATAGTAAAGTTGACACAACAATTTTGGAAGAATTTGGGTGGAGCCTCCATGCACAGTTGAATCAGTTTTTGCATGTGAGCGAAACAGGAAGGAAGTAGAGAAGGACGAAGAAGAAGTAGAAGTAGAAGTTGATGAGGGTGAAACTCTTTCCGTTGCTGATCACAACCAACTCAACCACTGCAGCAGAACTGAAGCACGAAAGATTAGTGTTTTGGTGAAAGTGATCAAGTTTGCAATTTGTGTCGAGAAGACAGGAAACTGCACCAAACCGCAACAGTGATGACCTGTAAACACGGCAGTGAATGCGATGATTTGCAGCCAGAAACGGAAGATGAGCAAGAGAGAGGAACACGAAAGGGGGATGAATTGGCGAAGAAGCACACGGTAAACGCCACCAGGTCAGCAGCATTATCAGGAGAATCAGGATGTCAAGGGCTGGCATGTGTGCGTCTTCAAAGGCCTTGGAACAGTGCTGGGTTGGGGACAGAATGAGTCACCGCAACCACGATCCGCAGCACTTTCCACCTCAGCTTTTCCCTCATTTTGGTTGCCTTGTCCATCGCTGATGTGTCCGAAGGATCAGCTCTCTTATGCCGCCGTGACTCATAGTCTACGCCACACTCTCACTCTCTCTCTCTCCCACTTCCCCTAGTCTAGGATCTCATCCTCGTGATTTCCGTTCTCCCTTCACCGGCATATGGTGGCGCTACAGTGCTTACCGCTTCGTCACATTACCCGTGACAGTCTGTGGTTAATCCAATCCCTGGTTGCTGGGTCAGGCTTAATCTGGGGGGAACATTTTGCAGATCGAGAGACCAACGCACAAGCTCGTCATCATGATTGTCCGCCTGCCATTCGCACTCAACGGTTTTCCTTCTTTGGAGTTGTCTGGATCAGAATAGGCGGCTGGGTCGCTATTGGTTCCTCTGCTCACTACTGCGACTACATTCGGCAGCCAAGTTGGGTTGAATCGATATTTCACTGTAAGTCATTGAGCTCATTGGAATTCCACCGGCGTGCACATTAAACCTCGTACAGTGGCCAGAAGTTGGGCGTTGTTTTAGGAATGAAGAGTGTATGGCTTATTTGAGGGACTTCTCAAGGCATTTTAAATCGGCCCATGCGAAGGTTGCCGAGGTTTAAGATCTGGAGCGGTGAACGAGCATGTTGGGATGAAAATTAAAGTTCGGTAATTTCTTGCTCAAACAGTACTTCACAGGTTTGAAGTACAAATTTACAACTAACAGCTTATTCTATGGCATATACATAATATTCTGATGATGATGTCACTCGGTAATTCCGTGCCGGCTAAATAAAGAATCTACACGCTGCCTTTGCTTGCTAGACATCCTTTTCGGTTGGCGTGAAGAAAGGAGAAATGATCAACTGATGTTTCTCCATCCGGAACAGCAGTATCATGTCCTCTGCTCAATGAGTCCAGAGGACAGAAAAAATGTGCCGCTGCTTCTTATGTGATAGTTCTCTTTGCTTGGGGCACTGCCAGGGAAAATTTCTACGATATCAGTAATCGGATATCTTCAATGCCAAGGGTATTGTGCTCTTCCTTAAAATTAGAGCATTCACTTAAGATATTCAAAGCGCTGCAGACCTGATTCTAATCATCAAACAATTCCCTCAAATTCTTCACTTGATGATTATTTGACCTTTGCAAGGACTCTTGTTATTCTGCTTCAGCTAAACAATTTTCAACATATTTGATTTAAAATAACCTACAATAGGAAAGAAACTGGAGTGGAGACAAGACATCTACGTCAATAGGTATCAAAAGGAATCTCTATCTTACCAATCCCAAGAGCCTTTTCCATCCGTCAAAACGAACTCAATTGAATTACCCTCGACGTCTATAACCTGCAAAATATTCGATGGTAACGTCTGCGTTCACTTCAAGTGATGGACATAGGTGCGACGGAATTGTTTAGATTAACATGCGTATAGACTATGAAAGGTGCGGCGAAGCATACACTCAAGTGGCCATAACAGGATTAGCGCGTGTACTACTTAAAACGCTGGCAACAGCATGGTAGAGTGTTGCACAAAATTCTGTACTAGTAGCCACCTTACCTTAACTGGCACGTTGTTCACGAGAACTTCATTGCGCATGCAAACACCAGGCAACTCCGTCCATCTACAAAAAAAAGACTCTAAAACGTTAACACTGGCTTCCTTTTCAGAGCAACATTAAAACTCTTGACATCTCTATTTCACGCAATTCCAAAGTTTCACATGTCAAAGTCTCAGATCGTTAATATCAACTTACGCGGAATTATCAGCCGAGTAGTGAAGATGAGCAAACTCCCAACTGCTCTCATAATACAAGGTGATGGTGGGCTTGATCATTTTTACGTCAACTGCAAACCGGCATAACACCATATGTCACATCTAGTATCATAAAAGTGGATGTCAACCATCTTGCTGTCGATTTACAGATTGCTCAAGTTAACTAAAAACTATCCACATCTCATTTGAAGGTCGCACATGTATTTCAAACATGCAAGTCGAGAAGGACCAACTAATTTACAATAGTGCAGAAAGTCAAGATTAAGGGGGAGAATAGAGATGGTGATAAAATTCAAGAACGAGACTGAAAATATTAACACTTCGAAGCCGACATGCATTATCACGTCATTGACAGAACATACCTTTAGAGCTCCTCAGGTTACTGAGATCGTGTTCGAGGATGCCATCGGTGGACCCGCCAAATGCTGCGCCATTACTAATTTCCCTTGATAGCAGATTGGTTGTAGTCATTTTCTCGTTCTCTTGTTGTATTAGAACACCCATCATGATGAAGAAAGCCTCCAGTGCCGTAGCTTTCTCCCCAGAAAACATCGATCCCAGCACATCTTCAGCATAGTTCAGTTGTTGTGCTTCGGGATCTTCGACTTCACATTTGTCATTTACATCTAATGATTTCGAAGCTTCTGATAACCTAAAATTGAGTGCTCTGCTCTTCGTCTGTGCTCGTTTTGTCTTTAGCATGTCTGCAACTAACGACTTCACCGTCGCAAGAACACTTCTATCTCTATGTTTCCTGACTTCTTCAGCCTCCATCATTGAATTCTGCAATCTGATCACCGAGTCCTCTAATTCATTCACCTGAAAAAAGCACAATCCGTAAGAATCGTAACCATTGTAAGGAGAAGTTTGTAACAATACCTGCTCCTATGGAAAGTATATCTACACACCTTATCTGCTGCTTCGATGAATCTGGCCCTGTCCTCAGCATGTTCCATCTGTAATTCCGTCAACTTCCTCTTCACATTGGCAAGCTCTTTACATAAACTAGCTCTTTCCGCATTCCATTCTTGCTGCAGCTGCTTTAGAAGGTTTTCATTGGCCTCTAACTCTAGCTTCATGGATTCTGCCCTCTTCAAGGTCTTTCGCAGTTCCGTCTCCAACTCATGCACCGCATTGTTAACAGCAACTTCCACTTCCTCCGGCGTTATTCGCTCAGAGAGTTCATTGGATAGCTCCCTCACCTTCGGAGATACAATACGCAACTCATCAGAAAGAAGGATATCTTATAAAATCCGACAGTTGCATTCATCATGTATTTCACAATAATCGCGACTTAGACCCAAAATGAAAAAAAAAAAAGTTACTGCTTACTAATCTTCCACGATACATGTCACATTAAATCCTCTAGGTTGGGGAGGGCTGCAATTGTTAAAAATCCTGTTCAGTTTTTGACGAACACCTGCATCATAATGACTCGAGCATACCTCTGGATACATTTTCCCTGAAAAATTGAGTCTACCGCTCTGACATTCAAATGCACATGACATATCCAGTAAACTCGATTCTTCCGTCTAACATAACACACAGGGAAGATCCTTACTTTATCCCGAAGGCTCTTTTGTTCAGTTATCATTTCTTGCTTCAGTGCAACTAACATAGCTTCCTTCTCCCTCAATTCAGTTGTGACTTGAGCTAACTTTGTTCGAGCCACCACCAGTGACTCTCTTTCCAGCCTAACCTGTTCCAGATAAAAACACGAATTAGAGCTCCAAGATACCGACCAAATGTCCTCAAAAGGGAGCCACTTCCTTATCACACTCTTCTTAAAAGCGGAAGAGAACCTTAAAACCACTCAGGTTCTCACCACTTGTTCATGTACATCCAAGGGCACCGTAGCCACTATCTCTTCTGTCAAATGTTGCAATTGCGCCTCTGCTTTCTCTGCTCTAGCTGGGTCTTCTTGAGCAGCTGACAACAATTGTTCCAATGTTGCTAGGTTTCTTAGCAGCTTCTCTCTCCCTTTCGAATTGGTTGCCGCTTCAACTGCCGTTGACTGTTGCTGTTCATCTGCCAAACTACAGCACAATAGAAGGGCAGTTGCGCTTTAGGCAAAAACTAGATTTGACTACGACGATATGTATAGTTAACTGATTATGCGCAAAGCGCATTAAATATACCACAACTATCATTTTCCCCTTCAACGAATATATCAAATACCCTACAAGATGGAGAATATTGAGAGAATTGCAGCCGCAGTGGAGTCGAAAATAATTATTCAATATATGCTGGGGGTTCTGTGAGATCTAGTGCTGGATAGTTAATCATGCATGCACAAGACATCGCAGTTTAATATGGCTTGATAGTTGAGTTACTCAAACTTACCTGTTTAACTCTTGCGATTCTTGAAGGAAAAAAGGCCGAGCTTCTGGAGCATCGAGTTCAGTGCTGGATGTATCTGCTGCTTGCGCTTCATGTTTTTCAGCTTTCCTTTCACGCTTTGTTGACATCCTTCCACTCAATGGGAGGTTCTACAGAACGAAAGATGGCCAGTTCAGTCAAGGCCAAGTTGCTTGCTGAAAAGCAGGCTGACTGTGTTGTACACTCAAGCCTGCATTTGAGATTATTGAAAGAATCAGGCTACCACTTGGCACAGCTACTACTCACAATTTGATTCAAGGACTTGGCTGCAGGCGCAATGAGACAATGGGTTTCGCTCAATCGAATTGATTACGTCCAGATCTTTTGTGAAGCCTTTTTCTGAAACATCGTTCTTAATGTGTTAATTTTGCATTTTGATTAAGACTGTAAGAGAAGACAGCAGTGGAAATCTTACTTGAAATAGTCTAAGACCTTCGGATGTTAGATATCCATCATCCCGCTCAGGCTCCGTCAACTTCGTTTTCCGAGCGAGCTGAATACTTAGGAGCAAACAGGTAAGATTCTAGAAAAACACCAACCCTAAGTTCTGCAACATAAACAAAGAACTATCCAGCGTCCAGTTTCTATAGCACAGTGAAAAATCCGGCGCAGGTCATTGATTCAATTTAAGTTAACAGATAATAACTAAATAAAACTTCCGCACCTGTTCAATCACCCGGCGCTCAATCTCCTCTCGAAAGACTGCAAGTAGTGACGAATTCTGCAAAACGATGACTGGTCAGGTACTGGTCAAGTGTTGTAGTAGCAAGATAAGACAAAGGGAGAGAGGCCTTAACCCTGCCGTACCCTTCGGGCTTAGGAAGACACTTAATTAACCCGGTATCACAAAGATTCAATAAATTCTGCTACGAGCCTGCTTATTCAAAAAGCGCACGAAGACCATTGAGATTTTCTCCAAAAAGAATCACAGCAATAACCTTATGGCATCCCTCAAGATGAGCGGCCTTACATTTGCTGCCGGTGCGCTCATCACGTACCCCTCCGTCCCGAATGTTGCAGGCTGTTCCACTGTTTTCAAGGAGCTTTCTAGAGTGAGTGATTCAAACACAGACGCATTTCCGTCTTCCTTTTCCTTCAGCACAATAGCCGAAATTTGAGTATCATTACCACTAGCCTCCAACTTTGTTACCTTGACTGCTTCCTTTAAAAAGGAGTCAATACTGCTTGGCGGAGCTTCAACATCTGTAATAACTGGTCCAGCCTTCATCGCAAGACGGACAATATTCTCTACAGAGGCATGTTCTCTTTGTAAGCCCTATTCACATGAAATCAAAGATTCATTAATCAACATTTGGAAAATTAAACGCATGGAATGTAGCAACAATTAGGTGGTTAAACACAAATACTACTCAAAATCCTCACAACTTTGATACTTCAAATGAGCACGAAATGGGACTCTTAAAGGACGTGCGCGTAGAAGGCGCAAGCTTCGATGCGCAAGCTCCAACCCCTGAATTAGCTAGAATTAAAAGCAACTCATCAAGGCATTGTGTGTAAAATGAGGACAAAAATACCTTCAAGGTTGCTGTGAGCTGCACTGGGACACGGCCACCATTAGCTATCGTATTTTCTGCCGAGTACTTGAGCAGTGTGGCGCGGTTGTACAAGACATCCACTCTATTTCGAACATCAGCACCCACTCCTTTGTTAGTTTCGTTCACGACTTCTTTCAGCTTCAAGAGCTCATCAACAAGAGTTGTCATTTCCATAAGGATGGAAGCATCTTCTTCTCTCGTCTGCTCAGAGCTGTTCCCACGGAAGTCGAATCGTGCGCGAACAGTCCCTGTTCGCCGCCATCGTCCTGCTTTCTTGAAAGAAAAATGGGTCCGAGACGGTCTCGAAAAACAGCCCAATTTCTTCAACGGCAAGGTTGAGTCGATCCCCCATCGTACCTCTGCACCTGCAGCAGATTCAGGACCTTCATTAGCTTGTAAACGATTTCGCCTCTGCAACGCGTACTGTGGAGGTTCAATGCCTGATTTCAAACAAAAAGCATGCTTAAAAAGAGGAATCCAGTGAAACCCACAAGCGGATGCTACTACATTTGCAGCAAACGTCAATCACAGTATCACTAGTGGAGATGCACGGAAAGAAAGCAGCATGGCAATGAAAAAGCACCTGGCACACCGACGCCACGGCGGGAAATCCTGTGATTACCGCTCCATGTCGAGCGGAGAGAGCAAGGCGAAGGCAAGTAGGCTGCAGCCATTACAACCACCTGCTCCAACGACAAAAGTCGTTCTCAGAGTCTGAACGCTTGCAACAAAAACCCCCCTACTAGACATCCAAAAAACCAAAAGCCCCTGGTCAGAGCTCCCCTACAAGCACAGCCTACTGCACACCATAGCCAGTCATAAGAGCCGTCAGGTTACCTTTACTAATTCCACTTTCCGGGAAGCGAATGATCTCAGCCTCTCAAAGTGACCTTGAGGGTCCTCGTCATGGGCCAGTCGAACTCTTTTGGCGTATTGCATCAAAGTAAAGAGTCTACGATCCTTGCATAATCCAAGTGGCAATGACCACCCAAGGCAGTGCAAGAGCATCTTTCTTCCTTAAAGTTTCGAAGGGAAGTTTACAATACTACCCGCAGCCCATACCTGAGCAAAATTTCAGGAGGAGATGTCTGCAATCCCATGCAAAATCGGGCATCTACTCTTCGGGTTCTCAGGCACACCATGTGAGCATTAGAAGATCACACGCCAATTATCCGCAGAGCAGAGAGCAGATTCTTGATCGTCGCGGCGTAATCCAACTGATGTGTTGCGACAAAACCCATGTCAGGACGCAACAATTTTACCGAAATTAGCCACCACGACAGCATCGATAGAGAGGATCCGCGACCTGGAACCAAACGCTTCCGTGCTTGTTGACTCGGAATTGTTGAAGCTACTACTGCATTTCAGAGACATGGATTGAAAAACGCCAGAGCACCAAGGCGCGATGAGAATTTGACATGGCATCCAGATATTCAGACGTTGAAGTTTTCTTTGTTTGTTGTCACCTAAACCAATCTTACCACATTTTGTTTGACAACAGAGTCGCATTAAATTATGAATTCTATATCTATCTATTATTTTAAAAAATACTCCACAAACAAAAATGGAATTTTAGTTCACTACGCATGTTGTCATGTCACCAACAACTCGTCACGACTTTCAAAACTATTTATTTTGTTCGATTCAAAACAACTACAACGATTTTTGATGTCTTTTTATCAGTGATTTTAGATTTCATAGCAGATACAACGTAAGAAAAACAAACAAAAACAGTTTAGTTCAATAATTGCGACCCCCATCAGTCTGAGTTGAACACCTTCCTTCTTCTCAGGTTCATAAACCAATCGCCGGACGATCACCAACAACAGAAGACCGTTCCAAGTCATAATTCCGACAGAATTTTAAAGAACTCTACAGTAATGTTTTCTTCAAGTTTAGCATTTTTTATAAAAATGCATAAAGGAATGATTAAAAAAAGAACAAAACTAAAACTAAAACAAAAACAAAAAGAATATCCATTAAGAACACTCGGCCAATGCAAGTATAGAAAAATACACGAGCTACATGGAACTCCATGAACCATCAGAACAGATATTCTAAATACTGAACTTGAGACAATAGTGATACAAGAAAAAGAAAACACCCAAATGATTGAAAGAGCGTGATAATATACATGAGTAATGAGGACGCAGTTCTACAACGATCTCCCAGAAACGACTGAAAAAAAGGGGATGCTTCCGCAAGCTGGATAGGAGCTGAAAATAAGCTCTACAAATGCTAAGAAACTGAATCACGAAGGGTCAAAACTCTCTGAGGATCAGCATCAACCAGCGAAGGAACGATTAAGCTGCTTCTTGATCTAACAAGAATTTCCTGCTCTTCCGGGAACAGCAACTCCTACGTGCCAGGCAGAAGCATTAGATTCCACCACAAACCCCTACGGACCAAGTAACCACAAACTGGTATCCCTGGTGTATGTAAACAATCCCGGTCTTCGTTAACCCATCAACATATGCATGTTGAAAGTGTTCACTTCTAAACAAGACATGATAGTGTGTGCAAGAAAAGTTCTCTACAGAAACTGGAGGGGGGATTTCTACATAGCAAACTCTGCCCCCCAGAATGACCAACAAAGTCCACAAGATTACGTTACCAGTTCTAAAATTATCTAAGCGAGATAGTTGTAAATCTGAGGATTGGCTTTGTCCCTTTCAAGATACTCCCGGTCAATCAGACTCTCGATTCTCTTCTTCAAATCAACTGGTTTGATTGGAAATTTGAGCTGCGAAGTAACAACAAATGCGTTGGACGACAAAGTTTTTGAAATCGGCATTTTCACAGCGATTATTTACATTATCATTTATTTGCACAAGTAAACCAAAGATTCTAAATCATAATTCCAGGAATGAAATCCTCACCTGCTGGAATAGTTCAGTTATTAACAATGTATGACTCAACACCTTGCGCGTTTTCATGATTCGCACAATAGCAGCATCAATCTGTGCCAACCGCTCAAGATCGTAACAAAATCAGGAAAATTACACGACAATTGAAAAATACCATTCCACGTACATCATAAATAAAATGCAGTGAGTGAACTATTGAAAAGAGATAAAAAAACAAGTTCATGTCTATAATCTTCATACTTGGTATTGGCGATCCTGAAAGACTCGCTCTGTTGTTGTGGTGTTCTCTTCAACAGTTTCCTTCAATTGTATTGCATTAACCTGAAACAAAAGATCCCAAACTTTTCCCGAGTTAGTTGGCCGATACAGAAGTACTTAACAATCCAGAACAAGGTCAGAAGGATAAAAAGCAAGTGAAGAGTACCTTGATTCGGAAAAGGGAAGCAACAAAGTCCTCATTGAAAACAAATGTGTCTTCATTTTCCACTTCTCTGCCCTTTGGTATCTACATTCACAAAAAAAAAAAAAAACAAAAAAAACAAAACAAAACAAACAAACAAACAAAAGACAATTATCTTTTAAAACCAATGCCAGTATCATTCAGCCGAAATACAAATTTAACCTTCAGGAAATGGAAGCATCTAATCATTCAAAGTGCACAGCACTAATACAGCAAGACGTCAAGCAACGACAGCTTCTTGCCCAGGCATCCATGTCTTGGACTATGTAATACGACTGTAATATCTAACCGTATAGTAGACTTCAGATTTACACTGTACCTTGTTCAAAACACGAACTTTACCACAGGCCAATGACTGCAGAGTTCTGCGGAGTTCTTTGTCCTCAATAGCAGTAGTTTCCTTGATTTCTTGGAAGGTTAAAGACTGGGCATCGTTGAAGAGCATCAGAACAACAGTCTGTAAAGAGACAAAAGAATATAACGTCAAATGAGGCATCCAGAATGTATTGTTTCTGATAAACACAACAAACAGAACCAATCATATCATCAGCGCACCCTAAAGTCTCGAACCAATTTCAGAAAATATATATATTCCTACCTGGAAAAGAGAAACAGAGAGCTCCTTCTTTCCTTTGGGGAAGTCAGACTTCAGCACACAATGACCCAAGGAGTTTTGCCACATCAGACGTCGCCCACTGTGCTTACTCAAGTAAAACTCCTTGAATATTTCCTGGTACACATTGAGCTCGTGCGGAAGCCTAACTTCCATAGGTGGATATGTAGGCCAATACCTGCAAAACAAAAAGAGCAGAAAGATTATAAGTACAAATTGTTAGATTTTATCACAACAAAAGTGTTCACACACTCACTAATTCCTTCAGGTGTAAAACGTAAATAAAATTAAAACATTGAACATAGCTTCGTGAAGTCGAAAGCACTACCCAGTAGTGAGAACGTGAACGTTCATCTCAATTCCTGATGGAAGCTTCAGCCGTGCCTGAGCAGATTGTCTGAAGGATTCGTTGATTTCTCGTGATAACTCAATATCCTACATAAACAAGGGACAACAGAGTTAGTATCAGTTGGTTCGTCACGAAGACACAATACTTCCTTACATCACTACGAACCTCACAACTAAATAACAATCAAAATAATGGTAATTACTAACATCCACCTTTCTAAACGCAAAGGAGTTGCGAGTTAGAAAACCAATGTAAAGAAATAAAGGTGTAGCATAATCAACAAGTTGCGTTCTGCAGGAGATGAAGCCTTTACCTTGAACATCCCTTCCAGCTTATTTGTGAATTGACTTCCACATTCTGTCTTGAGCTGGAAACACAATGCAGTAATGAATTCGAATAACACCCATGAGGCCAAATGGTACACGAGTGGTTTTAGGCTAACATTAGATAAGATATAAAAAGGAAACAAAGACACGCACACTAGTCAAACCGTCCCTCAAGATATAAACATACGCCGTCAGAACATAGACCACCATACTGAGCTAAATTCCTGTGCTAAGGAACTCTGGATTTCCTATTATTTGATACCTTTGATATCATGGACTTCTCTGCATCAATGGAGGCGCTCTTTCCTAGAAGCAGGCGCTTGGCTAGATCCTTCTTGTAGAAAGCTTCAAATACATCTTTTCCCTGAATTTTACCATAGAAAAGATGTTTTAAAAAACAACATATAATGTGAAACAAATAGCGTGTACAACCAAGTACATTTGATAGTACATCAGCCGCCATAAATTCGAAATGCAAAACATGATTCGTCAGCACCATATACGAAGTCTCGGTAAATGAAACTCCAAGTATAATCACGGTAAGTGAAAATCGAAAGCTAAATATAAGTTCGAGAGCACACCATGTCGCTTTAAGAATACCTGAATGAATCTGAAAAGCACTAGCACTTTGTCAAGGATGCCTTCCAACTCCTCTTCTGAAATTCCCTTATTGCCAGCTCGCAGCTTTCCATCAATAAACTTGGCGATAAGCTCAGCAGGCCGGTTCTGAGCACCACCACACAACAGTAATCAGTCTTAAAATTCCAAACCGACATCGACCCTCGGAAACATAACAAGTAACTCAAATCCAATTGAAAACAAAATTACCAGCAGTACATTTCATCAATTTAATCCTAACATTCACTAGAATTTGCAACATGTCAAAACAATGAAAGGATAAAAACCGTTTTATTAACGTGACAACGAACGCACAAGATAAGTGTTAACCTCAAAACTTCAACATCGGTAAACAATTGCAAATTATATTTACCTGACGCAAATTGATCAGATGCTCGAATGCATCCTTCAAGGTATTAGCAAAAGTTTCATTTCTAGAAAAGCTCTCATCCCATATAGCATCAAGTCGGGCCTTAAGATCTAAAAGCCAAGACACCATGTCCTTATCCTTTTCTTCATCCATCACAGTGCTATTGCCTGTTGCTTTGATGTAAGTGCTTAAGGTCATCTTGAGGGACTCTAAAGCATTTACTCGTGCAAAAAGCACGTACATCCTTTGAAGATCAACCACACGATTTGCATCCATAAGCATACTGAATCCCTGGAACCATCAGAACACCCAACACATCCAACAAACCTCTATAGCTCAATGAATTTATACCGCAAAATATGATTAAAGAATCACGACAAAATTTCAGCTATCGACTCCGCTATGTCATAAGAGCATGAAGCTTGGGCACTTTCCAAAGTGAAAATTATATGCATTTCTTACAAGATAATATTATCAGTATGTTATATGATGAACCATGAAATCTTTCACATTGAATCGACTAATGCTATATGCAATTACAAGACCCCCCGGCGAGCACAAAATTGTATCAACATCCCAATCCTGAAAAAACTGACATCTAAAAATACATCTTTGACCCCTACTGTTCACCTTCTCCAGAATCGCAGTCGTATGGCGGCTGAGAAGTTGTTTCTCGGCAGTAGCCACCAGAGATTTCCGAGTACTTCCATCCAGATAGAGCAAGCATCGCTCGTACTCCTCATGAATTCGAGTCTGGACAACGAAAAATAAAATCTCAGAAGATGTACTCGAGGTCCACAAATCATGGTACGTTAGAAGACTTAAGATGAGTGAAGATTTTTACTAAAATATTGTCCATTCAACTTTTTTACTGGTTCAAAAGCTAGTCTACTTACCTCGACGTGTTTAAGATAATCGGGGACATCTGTTTGCTGCATAAAGCGTGTCCCCTCCGCTGCATAAAAATCAGCAGTACATTCTAGGAACGGCCTCTCAAATGTCTCCGAGTATATACCAAGAGCATTGAACATGCGCAGCAAGTGTTTTAGTAAACTCCAATCCACATTCTCTCCCATCCTGCACACAAGGACAAACCCACGCATAAGTTTCCATTCCAAACCTTTCAAAAAAATAAAACAAGTGAAACAAAGATGTAAATATAACCAGCATATCCACAGCAAAAAGTGACAGATTTCCTTCAAATTGACTCATAATTTGCATCATACTCAAATAGAAAAACATCCCTCAAAAGCCCATACATTGTGACTACTTGCCGTGTCTGGCATCTAGCAATGGCCGCATCAATCATCACTTCAAGTTTTGACACAAGACCTCACCTCTCCTTCTCGATAAGCTTGAGAAGACCAGAGACAGTCTTAGACTCGACTTCTGGGCAGGCTGAAAGGTGGCGGCGGAAAAGTTGCAAACCCATATCCCATAAGGAACGAACACCAGAATTCTGGATAACATATGTACGATCCAAATAGAGCGCAATGCTTCGGATAACAAGCATTTGGTTGCAATGGTCTTGCCAGCAACTTTCAACATGAGACAGGAAGACTACAGCGTCAGGACTGCGCCCTACAAGATCTCGGAGCTTCACTGAAATGTGACTTTCACATTCTTGCTGCAATCTCCTGTACAAATTTCCTGCCATCTTGTGAAGGCAGAGATCCTCAACAGCCTGCAACACGGCCACAGCTTCCCGTCTCAAAAACCCATGTAATTCCAGAAGTTACATAAACAATGTGAATGTTCCAAGCCTGACTCCAAAGAAGCATTTTTTTGAAGACGTGTTTTTTGGCTCACAAACATGTCTTCAAAAAACACTTTTCACAATTTTTTTCAGAAAACAAAGAAATAAAATACACAATGGAACTTTCAGCTACACAGATAATTAGTTGCACGGCCTTTCATACCTAAACCGATATTCCTACCTTGGAATAGGTTCCAAACAATCACCATACTTTTTTAGTTCACAAAATTAGTAATCATTCACAAAATAAGCCAAGTCGGGTTGAAACAACCGATAGCAGCACCAGACACTGGAAAATAAAACTCAAATCAACTACATACCCGATATAGTTCCTCCAAACTGCAATTAACTGGTTGCTTTAAGTGAATTGCGGTAACAGCTTCCTTGATCTTGACCCATGTCACCTCTTCAAAATCTTTTGGCAGCTTTGGTTTATCTATATTAAAAATCACGATGCACATCAGGAACCCCTAGGATTGGAAGAAACACCCTGTTTCATATTCCTTTGGGCGTGCATAATGCATATTCACAGCTAATGCTGAGAGATTATGACACTGAACTCAAAGAAAGGGCGATGTGAAACATAACTTGCAACTTTTTGACTAAATGCCCACTAAGCACGACTAAATGAACATATATCAAGTATGACTACGACAGATTCCATGCAAGGCACCTTCCAACGCTAAATGTGACAACGAAAAAATTACTTAGCAGCTGCTTACATGAACAACATTGACCAACCGGTCCACCTACTAAAAGTATGCTTTTCGATGTCACAACATATTCGACACATATGTTCCATCAGCCTAACATACGGTTTCGTAAAAACTAACACTTCTAGGCAATTCTGGCGACACTTCTGCAATACTTCTTACTCCAAACCCATAACTCCACATGCTTCATGAAATCCTCGAAATAAAATATTTGTTTTACCAACATTCCATGAATTATATGCTCAGCTTACCAATTCGCCTTACATAGTTATCACAAATGTATCATTACAACATGAAACAGAAATAACTTCTACTCAACAGAAATAATTGCTAGAAACTCACTAAAGCCTACCACTCCGAGCTTCCGATCCAACATCACCAGTGATTGCAGCAGCAGAAAATATTTCCAATATGGTCTTGAATTGTAACAACCATGACTGACGTCAGAACTTATGCCACGAAGACACATTACACAAGGTATCTAAGCATCAAGCTAAGTTCTGTCAACATTCCCAACACAGAATTACGAAAATTCTACCCTGACGGCCACATCCAAAACCCATGCGATTCAGAGAATGTACGCTAGCTCACCATCACCCAAAAGAACACAGAAAATTGCAAAATTCAAATCAAACAAGAGAATAAAAAAATAAATAAATAAATAAATAAAGGACGACCACAACAACTCAAATCATTGTCAATAAAAGCCCACTTCAAAAAGTACCTTTGAAGGGCTTGATGACTAACTTCTTCGCGGGCTGTGGTGGAGTGGCTTTCTTCCGTGACAAATTTGCCGTGGTCCCTACGCCGGGGCTGCTACTCAAACTCATGCCCGACACCGGACGCGAGCCAGTTGACGGATGATCTTCCACGCCATCCATGAACATCATGTCAGCACTGCTATCCTCCACAGCCATGCCTACCTTCCCATTTTTCTCAAAATCAAAGATCGATGTCTGCTCCTGGTTCGTAGGTTTCTTGGTAGCTGATATAATATTCATCGAGATACGGCCGCCTCCTCCTTTGCTGCTGCTGCTGCTGCTTACCAACGTCGCTACAACGTCGAATTATTCACTTCTTCCCTACCAGCCCGAGCCTAAGTGCCCCGCCAAACGCTCACCACGTAAATTCTTCCTCGCATTCCAGCACTGCTTCTGTGTCCCATCCAATCGGCTCTCTCGAAATCACTCTCGGCCTTTCCCACAACCTCCAACATCCATGCCATCCAACTCCACGCAGACCATCAAAAATCACCAAAACCTAATCACATCGGACGTCAACAACAACACCACCACCGTCTACTACCAACCGCCGAGACATGATCTCCTCCAGCTCACACTCCGTTACCCCGAATTCCAACCTCAGCAGACCAAAAAGGTCATCGCCACCAACATTCCAGTGATACCGCACCTAAAACACCGAATCCAACAAGAAGATACGCACTAAATCAGACAGAAAAAAAAAAAAAAAAAAAAAAAAAAAAAAAGACGGCAACAAAGCCAAGCCATGCACCGGACCGGGATGAACTGCAATTTCGCAGCAGATTCGTAAATGAAGTGCTGACACAAAATGAGGAATCGGAGGAGGAATTTGGAGAAGCAACTAGGAAGCGGAATTAAGAAGAGATGGAAGGGAGGGCAGAATAGAATAGAATAGAATACAATGACGGCAAGCAGCAACAGCAGCAGCAGCAGCGTGGATTCCCCACTCATGGCCCCCGAATCTTTGGCCTCTGGCTTGGCCCCTCACTCTGCTTCGTCTCCTCCGCGGTGATGCGCGGCGATGCTGACATGGCGCGGTGACAGCGCTCGGCCTTGCGTGGCGTGGCAACGAATCTTCGCATATTCCGTATTTTATACTGTCTCTTTCTCTCTAACTGTATCGAATACGCGACGGTGTGGTCACGTATAGTATCGTTTATTCATGCATTGTGGTTTTCTTTTTAAAAAAACTACTGATATATGGACTATTTTAGTAGTTGTGAAGGAGTTGGATGAGATATACTTGTGAAGAAGAAGTGTATAATTTATCAAGAGGAGATTATTATTATTATTATTATTTTGACACAGTCGAGGTATACTCGATGCATTGATTAGAAAAGCAGGTATCCACTGAAGCGTGAGAAAAATGGCGGGACTAGTAGTCCAGCTCACCACGCCGACGTGGAACGAGCGGCCTTTCGGAGGTTGGAGCTCAGCACCGGGGAATATCCCCCTCACTTTACGGAGTCAGTACCTCAAATTGGTGTACTGGCATACCGGGCTAGGGCTCCCTTCCCCTCCCCACCATGAGCGAAAAAGAAAACCCTGCCTCGGTCGCAACGTCGGAAGTGGAGGTGACGCTGCCATCCAGCGAGCGAGCAATCTCATAATGCTTCAACCTCCGAATCAGGAATCAGCTGGACAAAACTCACTCACTTACACTAGGAACAACAATACTGCACTGTTCAAACTCTTGCCGCGAAGCCCAACACACGAGATTTGGGTTCGTTAGCGAGGGGGAGAGATTTCGTGAACGATGTAAGTGAGCGGGAAGTTTGTTGCGACGTGGTGGATCATTGTCGTCGTCGAATTGGGTTTTGTAGTTCTTGTGGCGGCGAGTGAGTGAGTTAGTGCGTGAGTGTGTGAGCGAGTGAGTTCATTGTAGGTGCGGTCGTTTTATTATGGTTTTCCGGTTCTTTCATGCGATGGCGGATACGGGTTTCGAGACTGGTTTTTGTAGGGCGAGGTTTGAACGGTGTTGGTGGTTGGAGGCAGCATGACACATGATTTTTGTGGAGTGGTGGGAGGTTGGATGGTTTGTGTGAGAGGATCGGGATTTGTATAAAGTGACGGGGATTTGAGGTCGCTTTGATGGTTGCGTTGTTGTGGAGCGCGTGTTCGACTTGTGATTAATTTCGATCAATTGGCAAAATTAGCTTCTTTTTTTTTCCCTTTTTTTTTTTCTTTTTCATTTTTGGGTTCTTTTGAATGTGGTCAATGCCTTTACTTGTACGCGTCGTTCTCTTCCACGATTACACCCCTGATTTACTTATTTATGTGTTTATTGGGAACCGATTGCTGTTTCTTAGTTGCATTGCCTGTCATGAGGGCAGCTACCGCCCTCAAGGTGTTGCATTGAATTTGTGTTCACGGTTGAGAGTTATCACATGTTCGAAGGCTTTTCGGTGAACTTTGTTTGAAAAGGAGTTTGTTTTTATTTGAGATTAAATATTCAATTCTGAAGGGTAGAGCTTGCGAAGCACGGTGAGATGCTCAAGGACTAGGAGGTTGCACAACGGGATGCTTTAGTATGATTTATTGGCGGCTTTGCTGTATTAATTTATGTGCTAAAGGCAGAACAATCTGGGTTGGACATGAATCTCACGAGTGCTATTGAATCACTGCTTGCAGGGTTGATTGTTCTTCCTTTTTGCCTTGCGCTTTGTTGCTTAGGATTTTTTAGTAACTACATTCGAGCTACTATCAACATGGGAGAGATAGATGTGTCGAGGTAGAAGGCCGGGAAAGGAGTCATGGAGGGTAGACGTTCGAGAAGTAAACCTGCTGCCGATGTTAGACCTGTTGACACACCTGCGTCACCCCTTTTAACGAAGTCAGCACCCAAAGTGCCAGTCACGCATGTGCCACCACTTCAACCAAAATCATCAGCGAAAGGTGCAGCTGCGCCTGTGGATACCTCGAAAATTACTGTAGACGATAGATGTGTACCGAAAGTTGGAGGCGAAAACAAAAGGAAGCGGGCGCCACGGGGACCACCTGGGAGAAATTTGAAAGCTAAGTGCGAGTTAGTTAATGAGGATGAAGCAAAAGCTGTTTCCGCACCAACTGCTGATGAAGAGGTCTTGGTTTCCCAGAGTAGGCTTAGAGAGTCACAAGGGGGAACACAGGTTCTGCGCAAGGTAGAGGATAAAAGTGGGACCGAGAATGACGAGTCGGTGACAGACGAGGGTGTGAACTCCAAAGAAAAGGTGGAAAAGAGGAGAGGTAGTTCTAGACTGAGAATCCGGCCGTCGAAATTTCGAGAAAGCTTGCCAATTAGCTCCTCTAAAGTGAAAGGGGAGGAGAAGAGTAACGAAGACAGTGCAAAGTCGATTGAGGTTGTGCTTCCCGTGAATGCAGCTATTCCCTCTACTGCGAAGTCAAAGGAAAACAATCGCTCAACAGCTGGGTCTTCGGAAGTCAACACTCGGGAACTTATTGCTAGAATTTTTTCGAAGAAGAAGGAAAATAAGTCAACGCCCACAGCAGTTAAAGACAAAGAACTGTCAACGACTGCACCTGTCGTCCCCACAATCCCAGACACCGTTGGGTTGAAGGCGGTACTGTCGGTATATTTCTACATAAGTGGTGTTTATTAACTGACTAAACGTCCGGTTGCATAGCTAGCCAGCTCTGTTGCAGCTTTAAATGACCAGTTGCATGATGTGATGATGGCTGGAGTTTATGTGGTTGGGGGGGTTTGGAAGACTTAGTTGTCCCTGCAGCTTCGTGGTTCTCGTGGTTTGGCGTTTCATTGAATTTTTGATTTTTTGAATTTGATTTTGAATTTGATTTTCTCTCGTATAACACGTCTAACCTTCTCACAGGGACAAAGCAATATCCATGGAGATAACCTAACTTATTATTATTATTATTATCATCCTTTATTGTTGTTATCATCTTTCTTATTACTACCACTCCCCTAGTTAAAACGCTGTTTGTCTACTATTCTGCTGATTGCTCACCTCTCATTTGGCGTGGTGCAGGCATTGAAGCGAATCATGAAGATGAAGGAAGCAGGTCCTTTCAATAAGCCAGTGGACCCTGTCAAACTAGGCATTCCAGTGAGATTTTATTTTCACTACTGCGAGATGTGTACATAATTATCTTCTTTCCCTTAATATTCTTTTTGTTAGAGTAATTTGAATAGTCTTATTGCATTGTTACGATTGCGGAAAAACTGTATCATTACCATACTATTGTTGATTTTATTGATTTTTGGAGAGCGTGAATCTGTAGACGAGCCTTTGTCTTGTCATCAATGATGCCGACTTTAAGACTCATGTTTGAATGGATTCGTTATTCAGGACTATTTTGAAGTGGTGAAACGACCAATGGACCTTGGCACTATTCGAGACAGGTTGGAAAAAGGAGAAGTGTATAATACAGTTGACGATGTCTTTGAAGACGTTGCTCTTGTGTGGAGCAATTGTCGCACGTACAACGATGATGGCGATCCTATTATGGAGTTCCTTAAGAATTTGGAGTCCACTTTCCAAAAACTTTGCCTGGCAGCTGGCTTTTCTTTCCATGCTGCTACCGCTACCGAAGGTTTAATTCCTGACACAATTCTACGATGTTTCTTCTAAACTTTCCTAGATCGTTCAAGTGCAAATGCGCATGCAATTTTTCCGTCCTAAACTTGAATTAGTGGCACTACATTGAACATTGCTTTCTGTGTAGTGCTTCACTTTGATAAACAACTTTTTTTTAACATATCAGCAGAATCGCTAATCAGCTATAAATATTTTTTTGGCACGTTAAAGTTGCAAATGGCTTATCATGCGTTTTTTGTGCCAGTATTTGGAATTGCTAGATTATCATGTATTTCATCCAAAACTCACCGTGCCATTTTTTTACTTTCTGCTTAATTGTAACCGCACAGCCAACTTAGACAAGTCAGTAAATGATCAAGTCCATCAGCAGACAAATGATCAATTCAAAGTCTCAAAAAAGAAAAAGGCGAAGGTTGTCCAGCCTGATGCGGGAACTGTGTTGAAGACAAAAGTCAAACGCAGTGGTAAATTTATACCTCTTCGAGTACTAGGATTACCATACTCTCGACTAATGATCGATTCTACAACCTTTAGACTTACCTCGATAGTGTTTGCAACAGGCAAGGAATTTGCATCTTCATTGCACTGTAGCACTATGCGTATTTAGTTTTCTAACCTTCCGTTCCCATGGTTTGGTAATGTAGCCCCGGTTGATCAAGTGATGGCAGAAAGCAAGGCCAGAGAGCAAAAGAATAAGGTTGTAGGAGCGAATCTTGGTGATCAAGATAGAGATACTATGAATGCAGTAGAGAATTCTGGTGGGGATGACAAGCAGCTTGGATCTCTACAAGCCGAACAGGAGCTTGATAATGACGAAAATAATAATGTCAATCGAGAATCTTTGCAAGGTATGTTTTTAGAGACAAAGCTGAGGAGGTTCTCCAGGTCACTATATTTGCAGATCACTATGTTAAGGAGCTTTCTTTTACTTTTTTTAGTTGTATGATGAATATGGGTTCCATTCTCTGCAGGACCAGTGAAAACACCTCCTATGAAAGAAGATGGATCTGCTCCCTCAAAAACTCACCGAAAATCCACAAGCTCGCGAATTGCTACTATTCCACCCAAAGTGAAACGTCCGAATGGGTATGCTTTTGACTCTCCCCCCATATTTGCACATCCGCCTGATCTGAAGCTTTTTGCCGATCCGCTCTCATATTTATGCCGAAGCGACGTGTATGAGTCTCTCGTAAATTGCAGTTCCTTCAACTACATTTTTGTGATGGCGATAGTTACGAACGTCAGTGCTGAGCTTCTCTTTCCCGTTGAATGGTCCCAGGCACAGTACCCTGACCCACAGGCAAGGATGTCTTTGTGTTGTGTGCGTTGGTCGACGTAAAAGAGAAGCGAAGCTACGTAAGAGTGGAGGTGCTCTCTCAAAAGCTGCCAAAGCTTCAAAGAAGGTGACCACCTCTTCTGCATGTTGATTGTATCACCAGCCAAGAGTTTATAGAATTGTATTTCCTTGGAAGCCCTTTGAGGGTATTCCCTTTTCTTTTGTTTCTTTTTCGGCAGAAGACCTTGGGTTTGGTGCGAGAATAACTGACGTGGTATTACTTTCTTTATGTTGATTTGGTCTGCTATTCAAGAAATCCGGAGGGCCCAACTCCGATGATATTGCAGTAGAGGCAGAAGAGGATCTCCCCTTCACAGACGATGCTGAAGATGCTCTATATGGATATCTACAATCTCATTATGCTCAGGTTTGTTCCCACCATGTACCGGGAGTTATACAATATTGATATCTTAGCTAACTTCCTGATATTATGTTTTGTACACTATTTCATCCTTCCTTGTTCTCCAATCTACTACTTTCTTCGTTCATGATACTTGTTTTCTCTATCTCATAATGGATGCACTGTGTATTGATGTGCACTCTTTGACTTGCATGCTGATTTATTGCGAGGAGTGGCTCATGAAAGGATATCTTTGTCATATGCAGGGGGACATTCCAGCTAACTACCAACTTCCACTTCGAAAGCTGGATCCATACGTTGTGGAAATGAGCAGAATTTTGCTAGGCAGCAAACCCGGTTCAATCTGGAACCGCCCTCGCTCTCTTGGTTACGTATCAGCTCCCCTCCCAGCAAGAAGTGTGGGTATTGCAGATGCAATTTCACTGTTCTCGAAGTCACACTGAACATTATTCAGCATTGGAGTCGTAGGATCATTTCAATCGAAACCAATTCGCTTCGCTAGTATCTGTCAAGTCTCTTACGATATTGAGAGTTATTTGAATGGCTGAAGCGATGTTGCTATATGTTTCTGAGAAGACGATGTAGATTTTAGACACCTTCATAATGTTTTTGAGGAGATAATGTTTGTGAGAACATAATGTCTCTGACTTCTGTAAATTTTAGACTCCTTTCATATTGTGCTTCTGATCTCTCATGCGTTAGGTTGAAATGCAAAGAAGCCACTGTGGAATTTACAAAATCAAACATTCAGTTTAGACTTACACAGAAGCTCAATCATGAGTGCCACATAGCATTCTAATGTTATGTATGTGAGTTAACATACAAATACAAGAAATATGACCAAATTGTGTGAATTATAGGAGAAACCGATCATAGGAAAAACATTTATCGATATTGTAATGCAACTAAAACAGATGTTTAGATTCTGCAACACAACTACATTGTAATATGGCAGATACAAAACCTAATACATACTTAGGTAGAGAATATATACTTTGAAATTCTAATAGAGCTTCATTCCACATCAAAATGTTGTATGTGAATAACAGTTGATCTAATTGACTTGATCATACTTATAAGACTAATTTTAAAATTGATTTTTTTAAAAGTAAACTAACAAATATATGATATAATTATTTATAATTTCCTATTTGAAAGACATATATTTGTAATGTTGGATAATTTTAGACAAATACTATTAATCATTCTAAATCAAGTTAGATTGTAGATCATATTATTGGCAATGAATTAATCTTATATTTAACAATATGTATACTTATTTAAGAAATATATATATATATATACATTTATTTATTTATTTAGATTGCAATGGCTCATTTATTATATATAGATCTTAGAAACTTGACATTTACAAATTGGCTTGGAACACTACATAATAACCTTTATAATTTTTTTGGTAATAAAAACTTTATGTATCATCTAACAATTATTAATTGACATGGTTTACATTGTCATGCATAGAAAAATTCAAAGTTTAAAGGAATTTGGTACAAAGCATATCATTTTGGTGCCTCATAATAAATAAGTTGTACAAATTAAAGCACATTTTTTTAATTAATTTTTATAGAATATTTTTAATTTTTAATTTTTAATTTATTTTTTTTTTGCAGGAAGCTAGACAAAAATGCATACAATTTTAATTAAAAAAAACTTGGATCTTTCTAAAATAAGAAAACTAAAATTTTATAATCTAAAATTGAAAGTTGGTGTGATTTTGATTATTCGTGTAATCTTCATCTTGCAATAGTCTTTACGATAGAACTAAACTGGCTGTTTAACAATTTACTACATGGATTGTTGAAGAATAAATTATAAATGAATAGAAAATTAATCACATCTATTTTAAGACAAACACATTACTGTGCTTTTGGTTAAATTGGATCTATTTATTACATTGAGATAAAGACAACTTTTTTTTTTGATGTGTCTTGCATAAGCTATGACAATCAACAAGATACAATTACAATAAAATTAAAAAATAAAAAAATAACTTAGATTTTCCATAAATCCTATCTTTGCCAAGAGTATTGTTGAATGTACAATACTATATGTATAAAAACACTCCAACAATAAGCATGGCTGACTTTTTCTTGTTTTTTGTATTTATACAGTTGTTGGAAATTTAAGTGTTTGTGTTACAATGGCTATTAAAATTCTGTCTATATAATATGCACATGTTAAAATTTTAAAAAATCCACATGGCAAGTTTATTATATTGATTTGTTTCAAAAAAACATTTTACGTGTATCCTGTTAAATAAATATTATTTACTCCTTCATCCTTCAACTTCTCTATTTGTTAATTATTTTAAGTAATCACATGTAAAGATTTTCAATTTTTAAATTTCGTTTTTGGTTAGAACTATTCTTTGCAAAATTTATGTATTTTTGGCACTAGTTTATTTTAAATTTTCAAGTACAGCTGCAATATTTTCTTACCTTGCCTAGGCTATAGGCATGGATTTGGCAAATATTATGCTTTTTATTCAAAATATTATATTCAATATTTTTTAAACATGCCGCTTAAAAAAAAATTCATGTGTTAGCTACTGAGAAAAATCTAAATGCACCACAATTTGCTTCTTTTTTTCTTCTTATATCATAATTATCACTAAAATTTTTTTGTCATATTTTGAGATAGTAAAAGATAATGACAAAAGTACATATCATCAATTATCATGCTTTCACGTAAAAATTCATTTTGGACAATTTCTACACAAGAAGCTTTACACAAAAGATCTGAATTTTACATGAATGCATGCACACACCAAACAACATCACAAATCCCAATTCCACTTTCTTATTTATACTTAGACTTCAGGCACGAGCCCAACATAAGTTATGGATGTCAAAATATTTGCATTGTAAAGAGAGAATTACAACCAAAATTTCAACTAAACTAATAATAATAAAAATATAAAATATAAAAACAAACTGATACGACTCCTAAGAATAAGACAAAAGATATAGATAATGTATCAAAAATACAAAAGTGTGTAATTGCAAAGAATGGTTTCCATGATCAATAGTAGTGTGCCCACATTCAAACCAATATTTCCACAAAAAGCATTTACGAGAATTATAACCCAAAAAAGGACTTACGTACAAAGTTTGGCGCCAAATGAGGAGCCACGTCAGCGATGATAACAGTGCGAAGTGGGATCCCTGATGACATGGCGAGTAGGGAGACACGTCAGCATGTAGGAAAAATATTGGGGGGGTCAGTGGAGGCCATTAATTACTGTGGGTGCGGGCAGGATAGCAGCAAATTCCCATGTCCATGCCCTTTTATTCTACGACTCCTGCACGATGTTGCACAAATTCTCACCACCGTCAATCGCCTCTCGTTGTTGCTCCTCGCCGAACCCATGTCACCAAACAATCTCCTGTTACCGACAACTCCCAAAACTGCGAATTTTAGGGTTTGTGTGGGTGGGGGGGGGATGGACGCCCCGGGAGAGAACTAGATATATATATATACCCGCTATGACGACGACGACAACAACAACTACAGTGATGTCACAGAAAAGCACTTCTCTCGCTATATTCGTTCTGGTGGTGGAGTGAAGCACTTCTCGTCGCACCGAGAGTGGTAGTGGGATTGGTTAGAATCCGGGATGATGATGAGGGGATGGGATTCCAGGGGGAGGAGGAGACGCTAATTCGGTGAACGGAGGAGGCTCTTCTGTCGAAGAAGAAGGAGCAGTAGAAGAAGAAGAAGAAGAAGAAGAAGAAGAAGAGAGCTATTTTTGCTTGCATGACAGGGCATCATTTACTTTGAATGATTGATGAAACCTACTGCTCACTTCCTCCCTCTCTCCCTCTATCATCGTCATCCTCCTCCTCCATTGGGGCTGTCTGTCTGTCTCCTTTCATTTTGGGTACTACTATTACGACTACTGTTGATCGTTCACCATCCAATCCAGTGTGAGTCTCACAAGTCGACTGCGAACCCTGTGCTGTCAATCCCCCACGTCTTCTTGTCGTGATTTTGATGACTCGTGGGGAGCTCGGGATTCTTGACCTCTTCTTTTCGGTGTTAGGTTAAGTTTCGCGATTCCCTGCTTGTCGAACTCGAAAAGATTTTTGAAGAGTGCTTTTTTTTTGCCACGAAGACGAAGAAGGAGAAAGAGAAGGAGATGTAGTTCGGTTTTGATCTTGAGCAGATTTCGCCAATCGCTTTAGGTTGTTCTCTCGCTTCGGTAAGGAAGTTTGTGCATCGGGAGAGATTTCCAAACAACTGGTTATCGGCTTTCTGTTGCTGGAGACGTCAGATCTGTAGGCTTTAGGGGTTTAGTTCGTGGAGTGGAGTTGGGATGGTGCCGAGAATTGAGCGTCCAGTGCGTGATCCGCGCAATATTGCCGTATTGGTGGGTGTTGGAAGGTTGGAAGTCGGAGTGTAGAGCTCGTGTGTTTTCTGGTGTGGCTTAGTTCGGGTATGCGAGGAATCTGAAGCTTCTGGACTCTTGGATTTTAACCTTTGCTTGTCCTAATCTCAAAAAGTCTGCGTGTGTGTAACGTGGTTGCTTCGACCGACGCAAAGAATATTGATAATCTGGATGCGGTGGGTGCTCTTGCTTGCGCCATCGCTCTTTCGTCTAGACAAGAACCACTTCTTTATCACTCCTCTTAATTGGTGTCTGTTTCTACTTCCTTTATTGCAGATACTGGATCAAATTCCTGGCTGCGAATAGGCAGTCAAAGATTCGGGAGCAACAGTAGCTTTCTGTGACATCGCTATGCATACGCACAATGGTTTCAAGTAAGATCTAAAAATGTGATAGCAAGCTAGATCAGGAAGCGAAAAAGGGAGCGGGTGCCGACATTAACTTCTCCTCAGCGGAGGAGTCAATTTTTAAGAGATCCAGGCACTAGGGTTTGAAGTAGAACAGGCACATGACAGAGCAGTTTTGTAAAAATTCCTGCGTGAACGTCAAGAGAGCATTAGTGTGAGTTGCAGAGTGCACAAATTGTTCAAAAGCAGGGATTAGTCCAAGAATGCTGCGGCAGTGATACACATGTTTGGGATACAATGCCAATGCCATCTTCGCGGTTCGCACCCGCTCCGTCAACCTCTCAGAGGATTCTCTTTGTGTTGACATCGCTTACTGTGTGTCTAGCTCTATTTGCTTTTGGACTTCAATGGAGAGGTGGGGATCTTGTGGATTCGGCTCGGCTTGGGGACAACTCTCTGCTGCCTGGTCTTCAAAAAGAGCATTTGAACTCACCTTTGAATGGGCACCTTGGTTCTAACCCTGATTGCACTCGAATCCTGCCGCCTCACATTGGAATGTTTCCACATTATATTGGGTGGCAATACGCAATTCAGAACAAACATTCTTCCAAGGTGAACTTTTCATTACAGCTTTTAAATATTACGTTTCCACAAAACCGCTGTCAAAGTTTGTGATTTAGGTGGAGAGGCTTGTATGTATGGTGTCTGGAAAGTCAACTTACTAAATTATTGACTTTGATCTTCGAATAGATTGCCATCACTTCAAGCACGTCGGCTGGACTAGAGCAGATTCTGCCGTGGCTATATTACCACCGGACTATCGGTGTGACCCATTTCTTCCTTTTTGTTGAGGGAAAGGCAGCATCCCTAAATTCAACATCCGTTTTGGAACTAATTCCTGTAAGTGCTTCACCCAAGTTTCCTTTCTTCGTGTCACTCAGAGATATTTGTAGTTGCACTCCCTATTCACTCATTTAAAGAAAAGCTTGACATCAAATTTCACTGATGCAAAGTATGTTTGGTCTTCTTGCTCTGATTGACTTCATTTCAAGGTTCTTTTTGCTCCGAGCAGCGATTCACAAGCACTCTTACGGTTGGATGCAGGGGGTGAAGATTATTCATCGTACCAGCGAGCTGGAGGAGAACCAGGCCAAAAGGTTTTCATGATTAATATTCTTGTCATAACTACTTATTTTCATTGTATTATATTAACAACAATAACCAAGTATGCAAATGTAGCAGATTGCCAAGTTCTTTCTTAATGGTTTAATTTGGTTACACTGTTATTTTTCAACAAGTTTCGATGGCAGATTATTATTGCACCTCGTTTTATGAATCAGAATTTGCATGCAGCCAGGGACGCACTCTTTTCCTGTTAAGTTGAGAGTATAGTCTCCTGGTTGTTGTTTTTCTTTTTCTTTTTCTTTTCTGGACTCGCCCAGGGATTTGACGAGCGCAGATGTGTCAGTTCACGTAGTAGACGAGTTTTGTGATTGCTTGAGAAGTGTTCAACTAGACGGATGCTGACTGTTCTTGTGATGTGTGGTGCAGTCGGATATGGAAAGAGACATGGCTGTCGGGGTTTTTTTACAAGCCATGCAACTATGAGCTTTTTGTCAAACAGTCTTTGAACATGGAGATGGCAATTGTCTTTGCAAGGGTAAGCCAATAATGGAGTAAAGTTGATGTAATGTTGTACATCCCTGAGATCATAATTTTATGCGTAAGAATGCTACAAAATGAAGGAGTTCCTTTAGTGGTGAGTTTAAGCATGTGCTTCTCAAAAGAAGATAGCACAGATCTTTAAGGCCTACCTTTCTGAAAATTTGGCGTGTTGGACAGGAGGTTGGAATTGATTGGATAATCCATCTTGATACTGATGAATTACTGTATCCAGCTGGAGCTCCTGAATACTCTTTACAGCGCTTGCTTAATGATGTCGCTCCTGACGTCGATATGGTGGTATTCCCTAATTATGTGAGTATCCTTTCCGGATGTGAATGCTCATAAATACCATTAAGGTCGAATTCTTCACCGGTCCTGTGTGAACTATGCACTCATTACGGTTTTCTGGTTGCTGTAGGAGACTGCAATTGAGCGCGAAGATATTGAAGAGCCCTTCAGTGAGGTAACCATGTTCAAGAAAAATTATGATCATGTACCCAAAGAGACATACTTTGGGCTATATCGAGAAGCTACTCGGGGCAACCCCAACTACTTTTTGACCTACGGTAATGGTAAAGCTGCTGCCCGCATGCAAGACAATCTGCGACCCAATGGTGCCCACAGGTGGCACAACTACGCAAAAACGCCAAAGTGAGTACACTGTTCCTTATTTACGCACCTTTATTAGTTTACGCGGCATTCTTTCTTTTGGTATGTGAGATGAAGTGAGGAGTTCGGTTTATGAAAGTATTTCTGCATTGATTATAGTAGTACATTTGAGCTGGTACAGTGTAGCTGATTGTTGGAAACTTTTCTTGATTAATGATTTTCTACAGTGAGATCAAGCTTGAGGAGGCAGCAGTTTTGCATTACACATACACAAAATTTTCAGATCTGACATCACGACGTGATCGATGTCACTGTAAGCCTACTAAGGAGGATGTGAAGCGATGCTTCATGCTTGACTTTGACCGAGCGGTGAGTATAGCACTCTGGCGTGCAGGAGCCTTCTAATTTGCGCCTTCTTTACATCTTCAATAATCGTCATATGGAATCTTGCAACCAAGCCATTGTTTTCTTGTCACGTTATGTTGGTAATTTGAATATCTTAATAATTGCAATGTATTGCATCCTAAATAGAGAGCATCTCGTATTATTTCAGGCTTTCATTATTGCTTCCACAGCGTCACAGGAGGAAATGAAACGCTGGTATGCCTTTTGACAATCGCATGTGTCTTGGTTTTCGCAATTTGTTAGCCCCCATCATTCATTCATGCTTAATTACCGATGCACTTATAGCTTCATTTTGGGTTTTTCGCTGCCAGTACACTATGTCACCGACTGTTTCCAGGTCCTCTCTCAACTGAAAGATCCCTGTACCTTTTTTGTCGGCATCATATATGCAGGTATAGGAAGCACGTCGTATGGACTGATAAGGATCTCAACATGAAACTGATGCGAAAAGGACTCTTGACACGACTCTATGTCCCTGCGGTAAGCCCTGAAGCGAAGATTTTCCACTGTGACAACTTTCTTCTCTCAATATCTCAGAAGTTTATCAACAATGCAACTCATTTGGATCGATTCTTGTCAGGATTTTTAACAGATGGATGATTACTTGTTTATTTTCCTAACATTGGAATAATGATTGTGACTTTTCACGAAATACTTACCACATGAAAGTGATGGTTCTTTAGTACTCGTTTAATAGCTCAGATTCCTTCCTGCTCTTAAGGTCTGTTCGCATGTCTTCGTTTCTCCTCCTAAGTCTTTCATCAATGTTTTAGGCGATTGTCCAAGGCTTGCAAGAGGCAGGAGTGTTTAGCAACGCCGTGCAGGCAGGGCAAGCCAACCTGGAAAAGACCCTACAACGTGAAAAGATTCAAAGCTCATCAAATGGGACAATAAAAACTTCAAAGCCATTATCCGCGCTGGAGAAATCCTTACAACAAGACAAGAATATCTTCAACATCCCAGTTACTTCAAACCAGGGTGCTGCAGGTGGGCGAGCAGCGGCCATGCCTCCAAGATCACCTCCATCCACTGACCTCATTCAGTAGCTTCCATTGGCCTCGGATTTGTTTAGCAACAAAGATTTGTATTGTCTTTCGGCTGCTCCAAAGCATTCATAGGTACAACTTCTGATGGCTACTATTGTTTGGACCTACTCTGTGATTTGCTTCTCACTGTCAAATTGTTTGGAATACAATGTCCAGCCAAAGCTCAGATACCTTTTATGTGAGATCTATTGGAGAGGGAATTCCAAGATGCTTCACAGCGTCATGTACAATACAGAGCTCCACATTCCATTTTCTTTTTCCTTTTCTATTCTATCTGCTCTTGTTATAATGTGTCACGAAGGTCTTGCAAATCTTCTCTTGAAAGAAAGCGGTCTCTTATTTCAAAACCCATTTCCATAAGTTTTGTTTTCGTTTTAAACTTTTCTAAAACATTTCTCTTTCGTTTACTCACTTCGGTCCTGATGCATTTGTGAAATCTTTTCTGAGAGGCATTCTCTTGGAATCCTGAACCTATCATTAGTTATCATCTGATCTTTTTAGTATTTCTATTATTAGAGAATCCCACTTTGATAAACTGCAAAACATGTATCATTCGATAACCAGATGATAATTTAACTTCTCCCACAGTGCATATCTTTAAAAAGATGGTTTGTTTCTTACAATAAAATAGTCATAGCATCAATCGTATATTAGGAAATGATTATTAGGAAATGAAATCCTTTTAAGTGTATGATTTTACATTTTTGGAGATTCTATTGTTGATGTCATCTTTAGAGGGATGACGCTAGTTGAAGTCATAATCATTGCTTAAGTTGGTGATTCAGTTTCTAATTTTAGGATCATTTGAAATGTGAAGTTTGATTTCTCTAAGTGGGAGTTCGTAAAAATCTAACAAAATGTTGCTTTTAGACCTCTAAAATTTGCTTCTATGTCTTTATTATATTCTAATTTGTTTTTACAAATCCAATGTATACAAAAAGAAAAATATATAAAGATATTTTCAATGAAAATAAAAATAATGGTTAATTAGTTAAATAAAGCTCTGAATATCTTTCATAATTAAAAATATGTATAATGTGTGAAAATTTTATATTTAAATTTTATTTATAAACTATGTCTAAAAAAATTACACTCTAAAAAAACCTACTTGAGTTTCATGAATTTTACATTTTTATATTTTGATATATAATCCTTTATCTTTGAATTGATAAGATAAAATAATTTTGTTTTTTGTATTGACTATTATTTTTTAAATAGATAAAAACACCATTCAAGTATAACAAAATTTGATTTATTTCTGAGTAATAAACTATGAGCCTTTTTATGTATATATTTGTCTTATCAAATTGTACACGGCATAAATTTTTAAAAACTTTTCATTAGAAAATAACCTTAAAAATAACTAAGAAAAAAAAATCGAGAGGCTTTTAATATCATATTAGATAAAATAAAAAAATTAGATCACTTGGTATAATATCTACTTGTAATGATATCACTAAATATCAAAAAAATTACTTTAGGATTTATATTATTAAAGATTCATCAGTGTTAAAAAGCATCCAATCAATCTCTGCAATTGAGGAGCTGCTGTGCACATTTCAAATTGATTTTTCATGAAAAACTTTGTTTGCAACATTTCTCCAGCTATGGGAGCAAGAACATTATCATTGTGGCATGGTATACATCTTATTTACTTAAATGAATAAACTTCAAGAAGAGATTTAGTTCCTAAAATAACTAATTGAATAGAACCACAATTTGTTTATGTTTTTATGTATTTTTATTAAGTTTTGATTTACTAACTATATTGTATGTATATTTTTTCTATAAGCAAATAATTTTTTATCCAATCACATAAAGATTGATATTAGAGTGCGGTTGAGGTATCCCAATGGCATAAAACATATGAAGTTGCAAAATTAAAGGTAGAAAGAAATGACAAAAAGACAAATTATAGGTTCTTCTATGTTATATTTCATTAGATTTGTTGTGAGTTGATAAGTATTAATGTTGAATAAGAAAATAAAGATAAAACTTTGTTATAAAAACTTGTTTAAACTTTTAGTTGGTGTTTTTAATTAATCTATAGAAATAATAATAATAAAAAAAAACTAACAAAAAATAAGATTTTTCATCTTAAAGCATGAATTAATAATTATAATTATGGATAGAAATACAATAGTTAAAAGTTTGGATCAAAATCCACGACTTAATTTGATAAGTTTAAGATTAGGTGTTACAAATGTATAAAAGCTGGAATGTTTTATAAGTTATTACAAGAAGAATTGAAAAATAAATTAAAATCAGATAGAGATAAAAAAAAATGAAACAAATTAGTTTCGTTGATTTTTACAAGCAAAATATAAATGTTTTAACTACAATGATGTGATGAATTTTGGATTGTTTAGAATATTGATTTTGGAATAGATGGTTTTATATTTTATATTTTTAGTAAATCAATGGAATAAAATATAACATAGAAGAATATAGAAATTGACACAACTTGCATTAAAATATTCCATACAGTTTTATGCATACAATGTAATACTTGGTATATTTTCAAATCACAAATAATTTGGTTTTGTTTAGATGTAGTAGATATTATTTGTTGTAAATAAAAATCAAATGATGATTTGTTAAAAATATTTAATAATGAATAGTCAGTATGAATATTTTTAGATTTAAAAAAAACTCATATCATGGACGTAGATGCCAATTCAGCCACAGATTTGTGAGAGTTTAAATACTAAAAAATGAAAGAATTAAATCATTTAAAAAAAATTATGCAACATTGTTTCAATTGAAACTTTCAAATATGAGTTTATTATAAATTGTGGTACTTATACACAAGATGTCTAAAAAAAACCTTAGATAGGTATAATTTAGATGACACCAAACAACATAGAACAATATAAAACAAATAACTAAATTTGACATAAGTATTTACTTTTGATAAGGATTCACATTAGGCTTCAGATTAATTTGGTAAATAATTTAATGAAAGTTATGATTTCAAGAACCACAAAGTCTATCAGTAACAAAAGAACAAAAACAAGTATAAAAGTATATAACAAAAAATAAAACTCATAATGTTTTTAGATATTCTTTGCTTTTATTGATTAAGTGCCATTTGTTTTAAGAGGTGACAAATATCTACAAGAAATCTTGTAAAATAGAAATAAAATAGACTATAGTAGCTATCAACATGTATACAACTAATAATATCATGCAACCAAACAACCTATTAAGCGAAAATACTGTTTCATTTCTTCAAAGACTGGACTCAGTGTTTCTTTATTTTCACCAAGGTATATTTTTTGAGAATCGTGAAACTATTTCTTGTTTTCACTAATTCGCATCCTCTTTAAAGCACAACATTTAACTTTTATGGACCATCCCTATTCAGTAAGAACAGGAATCACCCATGTTCATTATTTGATCTGCTACATACCAAATTTCAGCTCTTGGGTTGCTGAATCCATGAAGACTTGGAAAACACTACACATAAAAAGAACAGATGTGCAAAATCTGCACCATTTTTATTTGAAAACATCAGAAAATATGATACAAAGAATCTCTGACAGATTCATCCTTCAACAGGACACGCAAAATATATCTTCAACAGACAAAAAATCCTTCATTGAGAGAATATGCAACTCAGACGCTCGTGAGCACACCTGCAGTGTCTCAATAGACACCAAAGCTGTGTTTCTTTGAGTCTTGAAACCCGATAAACCAAGACATCAGACGTCTAGGTTGACAATAAGTTAAATGTCCTATAACGATTGCCTCCCACCCATCCTCAGTTCCTGAAGGACTTCTAAATAGGAACCAAGGATCAAGAAACTCATTTTCTAGTGCCCTCTTGCTGGTCATCAGCGCAGCTACAGAGACCAGGGCAAATGTAACGAAAAAAGATTTGATGTTTTCATAAAGTACAAATACTTCAATGCCGTTGCATCTCCCGAAATGTTGCACTTGCGGAAGGAGAAAGATTTCTGAAGAATTTGAATACCTGCATCAAACGTGGCTCTTAGTGAATTTGTAATAAGCACCCAAGTAGAGCCATGTTTATGATCGAAGGCACTGGTGGAAGCATGAGCTGACTTCGTGTATTCACACATATACACCAAGGCCACTAATGAACAGCAAGTGCTTCAGTACTACTTCGCTAATCTGCAGTAGCACGAGGCGTTAATTTTGAATTAAAAGGAAAATTCCTACTAAGATATTTATGGTTTTCACATACCCAAAGCTTGAAGCATGCATCGATTGTGACAGGAACAATGGCTACAAATGTGTAAATGGCCGCTTGAGAAACTTCAAATCCGTAATGTTCTAAAACCATCTCAGACACAGTCTCCCAACCCGATTCTGAATGATACCTGCGATGTCATCAGCACCGATGACACTTCAGAACCGCAGTTTCAAGGGGAAAAAGCTGCAAACTTTTGAATTAGTTCCTTCAACCTTTCTATGCATACAAAATTTGAAGAACATCCCACGAAGTGTGGCAACGTTCATGTAAAAGGTGACAGAACAATCTCCTGCACCTTTCCAGTTCAGTGAGTTGGCAAAGAAAACTTCGAATGGCTCACGACTGCATAAGAGCAAAAGGTAGATCCCAAACAGAACCTAGTCCCTACGCATGAAAATGAATGCCACAGTCCAGCTCTTACCCAAGAAATATATCTGTGAGAAGAATTATAATAAAAGCCTTCCCAGTATCTGAGATGTTCGTGAACAACCGTTCACCTGTCAACTGCATAATTGCAACCTGCAAAAGCGGATTACTTCGATTAGTATTTCAATCCGATAAAAAACTGGAATTCCTGTTTGAAGAAATTCCCGTTTCACAACTACGCGAAGTAGAAACCATTGAATTAAAAAGAGTTTGAGTGGATATTGGTTGAACCTGTTTAGGGTTGAGTATTAACAACAGCAAGATGGTCAACCCTGCAGCAAAGTCCGACCAGATGGAGGCGAAAGCCTGCCTATTCTCCCGTCTATATTCCTCTCGAAGTTCTAACCTGAATTCACCGAATCCGGAGGCCAATACCACTCAGTCACATTGGATAGATCAAGCGCATTATTCCTGTGAGAATTTGACGCTTCTACAAACAGTTGAGAAGAATGACACCAAAGTTGTTGATTACAACTTTGGTACTGTACCTTGGCTTTCCTATCTTTAATCATCGTCAGACAAATAACAATAGCGTTCAATTCTCGCAAAAAGGAATCACCTTTCAAATCGAGTAAAAAACTACCATCATGCTATCCTTTCTTCAACCAGTTGAGTTGTATGTCACTAATATTAAATACTCGAGCCTTTTTACTCATACACTACAAGGGAGAGGAAATGAAGGGCGGGCATCAACTGATGGGAACACAGAGGAGCAGAGTAACTTACGCTTCCTCGCGAATGTGCTCGGACAGCTCGTCATCGGAAAGAGGAGGTGCTTTGCCAATCTCAGCCTCAAACCGAAGACGCTGACGTTCTAACTTGATTGACTCAATCATTTTCAGTTTCTGAGATTCCCTCACATCGAAAACCTGGGCAGCTAGTGGAACTTTTTCCACGTACCTGCACAGCCAGAATGGGCACGCTCATCTATCAAATAAGGCTTTATTGTGCGCTACTAAGCACACCACTGAACATAATCAGTGCAAGTAAGACAAGACACTGTTCTAATTTTGTACATTACAAGAGCCTAAGCGTAGGAAGGAAATTCGACTTACGTATCTAAAAATGGAACCAACACAAAATCGTGAACGAGAAAATCTGTGATCCACGGCACAATAATAAGAACTCCGACAAATTTAGCCTGCACAGGACATCATAATATTGAGATGTTCAGCCACCATACCTACCTGCTGATTACATGTTGAGTGCCATATCTATTATACTGTGAATTGAATCTACGTTTGAGACTGGAATGCAAATGAAACTGATACAACTGATCGGTAAATGGAAAAACACTAAAAACCGACTTTCACTACAAGATACTTAAACCCTAAGCCCGCGCTTCCCGGCGAATAGCAAGGTCCAGTTTTCACACTTAAACCCACCTTATCGAACCCTACATTTCATGACGAGCGCATGATGATTCTATTGCAATGACAACGTTTCTAGTGTGAATCACGAACTCATGTAGTTTTGTGGTTACGGCTTTCACTTATTTAAATTATTTTTTCAAGGGAAGAAATTTCTGCAATTCCTGACTGGTTCGTCGTGTGTTTGCGACTCGTGAAACGTTTGCAGTTGAAAAATGCACATTCCCCTAATTCAGATCCATCTACATAGTCAAGGACTTCATTTTAAAGAAGGAGAATTAGAATCATCAGAGTGTTGACTGAATAATAATAATAATAATAATAATAATAATAAACTCAAGACTAGAAATATACAGAGGACGTCATTGAAAGATGAGCTTACAGTAGTCCGAGAAGTGAACCTAAAAACCCGCTCCTCAAATTGGAGGTCGTCCACTACTTCCTCCTCAGGCTCAAAAATTCGAAAGAAGAGCTCCTTTATTGTCCTCTTCATCCCGCGCTCAGGCTTGGAAGGAGCATCCCTTGGAACCCCATCCTTCTCCCAATTGGAGGATGCCTGGTACCACCCATCGTCTCTTCCGGCCAGGTTATCCTGATACTGATTCCAGCTATCGTCGAGCCAATCCTCCCAATCCTTGCCATCTGGATCACGTCCCGAATCCTGAAGGTCACGAAGCTCACTGCGTACCTCATTCCTCATCTTCCACCTGAAGAACCGTGCGTCGTCCTCAAGCATGGCGTCCACCTCGTCCCCTTCAGGCGCCACATCTGTCCTTCTTTCAAATTCTATCGCCCCGTCCTCTTTCACCTCGGGAACTTCCAGCTCATCGGCGATATCAGAATCGATGTCCATATCCGAAGTCTCAATGGTCTCAAAGAGGAACTTACGAAACCAGGATCTAAGACCGTCTCCAATCGCACCACTTGCCACAGGTCTCCGGGAGCCCTTCCAACCTGCTCGACAGGACCTGAATTCATGTCCAGGGAAACTTGCTCCGGCCATACAAACACGACCCATGCGGGAAATTCTCCCCAACCCGGTGCCCTCATGGCGATTCCCCAAATGTCCTAATCTCACACCCGCGAATTCCCTTTGCAACGAACGTGCATTCCTTGTACCGAAGCACTGCACGTCCGGGGACTCTCCCCGAATGCCTAACCTCAACACTACATTCCCCTCGCTGGAGCCATAGCCAACCCTAATTCCCTGCCATGACATCCAGGGAAAAGCTCTCGCCGGCTTGCGCAGACAATGGAATCGCCGCAACTCTGGGGCGTGGCAGGGCGCAGCAATGTTCCAACGACGGAGCTCTGTCATGCTGCCGAATCACCATGCTGGGGCGCTGTCAAGCCGCCGCCTCCGACGCACCCGAGGGTGCAGACTCATCTTCCATTGCTCTACAATGCGACTCCGCTCCATAAGCTGACTCCCCTCCCTCTCTCCTCCCTACTCCTCCTCCTCCTCTTGCTTTCCCCTTCCCTCGCAGTGGCCGAGACGTGGCACCGAACACTACCTGAAAAGGCACGGAATTATCATCAGAGCCAGATTTGAATCGAGAGATGACGCCTTGGCATCAGACCAACCCACCACTAGCAAAACATTCCACGGCAGGAGGGGAATGAGGGATTACAGGGATATAATCGCAAAAAGCATCCTGTCCCGTGGCAAAGCTGGATAACCATGCTACCGGGGCCCACCTTCTCCCTTCTAAACCCCGCCCTGCAAATTCCTGCCACCGCTGCTGCATCCGATAACTCCCACAGCTCTCTTTCTCACTCCATCGATCGATCTATCTGTCAATCTATTCATTCATCCATCGATCTGTCTTGCGCCTCTAGCACGACCGATTGCTCTTTCGAATCCGAGAACCCAAGATTCAAACCTCGAATCGGACTGCCTCCATCGCATCGGTGCCATCCGCGTATGGCAACGATCATCACCTTGCGCCTCCGCCTCCCTCACTCCCCATTGCCCCCTCCCTCCCTCGCGGGCATTGACGACGCGCCATCCCCTCCTCGCCATGCCCCGCCCCTCCGAATTAGGGTTTGGGGATGCTCTCCGTGAGCACTAACTAGGACGCGATGCTCACGACCACCCGAGATTCTCGTGAAGCGATGGTTGGTGGCATGTTAGGGTTAGGGTTTCGGGGTTTTGCAAAAGCTTTGATGACGAGCCTTCTTGTTGATTGTTCTTTGTTGCATGGGTATTCAGGAAGCGATTAATTTGTTAGATTTAAACAAATTTGAGTTACCTTACCATAAATTGTAGTGTTAGTGGTTGAAAAATAATTTATGGAAAATTTTATGAAAGAAAAGCCTACTTTGCTTTACATAGTTCAACATTGCTTATTTATATTGACCAAAAATACATGATGATAATGGAATGATGGAATTTAAATGAGATTGTATACCATTTTGAACTCGAGTCTATTCATTTTGGTGATGTGATTTGTGAACGTTTTTAAAAGGAGTATGAAAAAAATTATGTGTTATAGAAGATACAATTTTTGATAACTTATAGTTGAATATATATGGTTATTTAATGTACCATGTATAAAAAAAAATTAAATGAAATGTCAATATGACTTATAACTTAGATTTGGAATCCTTTTTAGATACATCAACTATTGTTTTGTATGATAATATAGTACTGATATTTGATAGTATTATTTAATAAATGAATTCATGGTGCATAGAAAATTTTAATTAAATGATTGATTTGTATTTGACTGATATATATACATATATATACATATATTTATATATATACATGCATATAGAAAATATTAAAGTAACCAATCTATTTACTAAATCAACCCATCTTATCATAGCCATCATTAAAAAAATGAATCATCTCTAAAAACAACCATTACAATTACACTCATCATCTCCAATCCCCTCGCTCTTAACCCTTGCTCGTGTTGTTCTTAGTCTTTTTCATTCTAACCTCTCTCATTCCGTCTAATTCTCTATAATAGGATGGATCAATTTAGTAAATGGGTGGATTATTTTAACACTTTCTTATATGTATGTATATATATATATATATATATATCTATATATAAATTGGTAAATTTTAATTAAATGATTGAACTTTTGGACTTGAATTTTTTAAATTATATTTCATTTTTTACTCACATTTGGAAGCAAATATAATTTTATACCTTAACAATTATAAAAAGAGAGGTTGATTATTTAAAAGTGATTAATCTATTTTTATTATTAATGCAAATCATGGATTGATTATTAGAAAGTCAATTGTTTAGTTTATGTATATATTCTTAAATTTGAAAATTTTGATTATATAAAAATATGTTGCTATAAAATAAAGTAAGAAAGTGATGTCACAAAGATAAATAAAAATAAATAGTTTAAAGATATTATTACTTTTTTTAGCCATGATAAAATATCTAATTCTATATTAGAAAAAAAAATAGAAGTGGAAAAAATTTGAGCAAAATATTTTAGATTAAATTCTAAATACAACAAAAATACATTCTTCATAATATGTTATGTCTCAATTTATTAATACTTATCAAGAAATTGTATGTAATTTATCATTTATAAGTGCTCAAACATTTGCTTTCAAATAACAAATTCAATAGTTGTAGTTAAATATCATATATGTTTATTATTCTTAATTATATTTAGAAGATATAAGAAAATAAATTGAAAGAGTTATCAAAATATCAATGACATTGATGTAAATGATATTAATATTATTATTTTTCTTTTTTACAAAAAATTAGTGATGTAATGGAATAAAATCATTCATCCTTGAATAGTACATTTTGGTTTGATTGATGAGATGAATACAAATAAAAAAATTTATAAAAATATTCTATAAATGGACTAAAAAAAGAAAAAAGAAATTGTATTATAATAAATTGCAACCTTCAAATTATGTTTTCTTAAGCCTTAAGAATTAACATACCTTAAAGATAAAAATAAATTATTTCTACATGAAAAACACATTTTTATGTTAAAAAATCAATCTATGATATCAACTACCACTTATTAGAATGAAAAAAAATCTTAGATGGAGATATATATATATATATATATATATATATATATATATAAAATGATAAAGAAATCCAATTTTTTTATTAAATCAACCTACATGTTTAAACTATCATTATATCCTTTCAATCCCATCCCTATTTTCAATTGTTGCCCCCATTCTTGACATCTTGAGCCCCCATCCTTGTCCTTAACAATGGTTGGGAATAAAGAATGGTTGGAAATAAGGATGAGATGTATTGAGAGCATTAAATGTAGCCGGCTATTATAGACATATATATTTATTCCAATAGTTACTTATATGATTAGATAGAAATAAATAAATATAAATTAATTTCATAAAGCATTTTAGACGCGATTTTGACTTTAGATGTGTTTGTAGGTTAGAAATTTGGCCAAAAAATTAACCACATGTTGGTAGCTTGTAGAATAAGTTAACTTTGTATAATAGCTTGTAGAACAAGCTAACTATGTGGCACATATATAAATAACTTGCGTTGCAAGTTAAAACATGTGGATAGCAAAGTCAACATATGTTGGTGGTCCCATAGAATATCATCACATAGCTCTTAGTTAGAGAATATATATGGAGGCAAGAATAAAGCCTTCTTCACTCTTGTTAACATCTTTCTAATCCTTAATCTTGTTTCAAGACCTTTTAGTCTTCTTATTTTTGGCAATAGCCATTTTAATTCAATATTATAATATTTTTGAGTAATTTTCTAGTTCCTTTCAGTGACACAAGAGTGTATTGAGGATTTTCTTTCTTTGAGGTTCATGTCCTTGATAATTTGATAAGAGTGCTAACCTATTATTTTTATCTTATTTTGGAAGTGAGTGGATTACCTCACTTTAATTGTTGTCTTTTGAAGGATGCGGATTACCCACTTTTAAACAAAAAATCTTATTTTCTAACACCAATCTTTTTCTTAAAGAAAGTGGTTTATTGCTATTCGTAGAAATTTTTATTAGAGGTTGTGGATTACCTTTTCTAATTTAACTTTTTGAATTTTTTTGAGTTATCTATGGAAGAAAAGATTATAGATGCTATTTTCAATGGAAGTGAGAATAGATTTGCAACTTTTGTAGATCTTCATGAGCTTGTCAATACTCTAAGAGTGGAAAACTTAGGTATTTCTAACATGAATCATGGAGGTACTATGCCCACGTCTATGGAAGAAGTTCATAATCTATAATAAGAAGTTGTGCAATTGAAGGAAGCAAATAGATCAACTTTACAACCAAATTTAGGAAGTTTTGCTTCTATAAGTATAATGGAGATAAAGATTAGTATGCATGAGAAGTTTGATGGAATAAGATCAAAATTTTGAGGATTTTTGTTACAAGTCAAGTTCAATCTAAGATTGCATCTTTTCTAATGCCTTGATGGATTTATTCAAGTCATATTTGTTAGTGCGCTTCTATTAAGAAGTGCTCTCTCTTGGTTTGTACCTTTACAAAAAAAATATTTGCAACTTCTTCATGATTTGAATTCATTTCTAGAAGTCTTTATAGCTACATTTGAAGAAAGTGATTGAAAAAGAGTAGCAGAGACCAAGCTCTTATCTTTATAGCAAGGATCACAATCAACTACCATGTATGCTGCTAAATTCTAAAACTTTGCTTATGACATAGATTGGAATGATAAAGCCTTTATCAATCAATTTCAATATGGATTGAAGGATAATGTTAAAGATTTGTTATTGACAATGTCAAAGATAAAATCTTTAAAACAATTTATTGCTCAAGCCATTGCATGTGAGAATCAATTATTTGAAAGACGTCAAGAACAAAGATTTGGCTAGAATGGAATAAATCAAATAATCTCAGAAACTCCTAAGTTTTTAGAAACTTATTCATCAAGGCCAAAACGAATGCAAATTGATATGATATGTTTTAAATCCCTTACAAAGTAAGAAAAGAATTGACAACATCAAGCAGGCTTGTGCTTATATTGTGGAGAAGCTAAGTATACTGCTCAACATTGTCCAAAGAACCAACTCAATTACAAAATAAGAAGCACAATTGCTAAAGGAGACAATATATCAAAAAATGAGTTGTTCTAGCTATAATAAGAACCGTACAAAATCATATGTAATATCTAGTAAAGGTCTTATTTTCTCTTCATATCCCTCACTTTGTTTTATAATAGAAGTCTATTTAGGACCAAAAAATCATAAAGTCTTAGCCTTATTGGATTCACGAGCATCAACCTATTTTATAAATGAAGACTATGTTAAAAAAATAAGATATATTCTTAGTTAAGAAAATCAAACTTGTGCATGTAGAAGTAATAGATGAACGTTCATTGTCTTTTCAAAATATTATACATGAAATTATTCTTATAGAAATAGCAACTAATGATCACAATAGTTTATTAATATTTAATATAATTAAATCTCCTTCTAATCTGATTATTTTAGAATTATCATGGTTAGAAAGATATAATCCTCAAATAGACTAGGTTTCTTGCAATCTTGATTTTTTTCATAGTTTAGTCCAAGGTCTTGCTAGACAAATATAAATCCATAAGTCTAGTACATCCAAACTATTATTAAACTATTATTGATAAGTGTAAGAGCTTTCATGCATGTTGCAAATGAAGGGCCATCTTTTGCTATA